AAAAGATTGCCTCTGCAAGACTGTGCTTTGAGTGTGTGCGTTGGGAGGCGAAGTACGCGTAAGGGTGCTTCAAATAAAAAATTCTCCAATATAAATACTTTGCCCTTGAAATTGTCAGTCAAAACCAGCAGGATTCTTATGTTCAGATGCATTACTGAGCAGCTGAATTTTTATTTCACATGTATAAACATTATTTGTTCATACTTCCTGCTCGTTTAACATGGGGTCACATCCAGGGTCACCACTCCTCCAATCCACCTCCTCTGTTGCAAAATATAGCCTAAAAGACCACCATTACTGGGAAAAATATCAGACAACTGTCACATTACCTAACTTAGCAAAATCATAACAAAGGCTTCCATTAGAAGTGACATAACATAAGCTGGAAGGGGTTTTCAATTCCACTTACACTTCTTTTCCTCTTCCTTCCCTGAAATGTCTCACATTCTCAGCATGTTTTGTGGAAGCTTGATTAAAGTCAGGAAATCTGGTTTTGTACCACTCATTCATTTCCTGAGGGGATATTAAACAGCAGAGGGCAAACAGGAATGCTTATTGTCAGATCTGTAAAAAGATACGTACTCTTTTCAGTTATTAGATGAATATGTAAACGTGAAAAACCTGAGAGTATTAGTAGAGACTGTTTTTTGTGTGCAACTAAGGAAAAAGGATAAAGAAAACGTATTTCCAATTGTGGAGGAGGACTCGAACAAAAACCTGGCTGTGTATCATCCTATTTATCATGTTATTTATAAGATGTAAATTGGAAGAAGCATTTATTTGGGGGAAAAAAATCTATCCAACTATCCTGTGTATATTTATGTCTAGCAATGGACTATTAAGTATATTCAATATGTTTGTGATGGGTCTTATTAGGGGGGCAGAGGGGGAAGAGATTAGCAAGAGCTGACAGACAATTTCATCTCACAAATACGACAAAGAATAATTTTACCTGCAGGTTCTTGGCTGCGATTTTTTCATCCTATATCTGGATGTCCCTCAGAGCAGCAGCCAGGTCCAAGGCTGAGCAGGAGACATCAGCACACACAGCAGCACTGCACATCTGTTTCATGAAATCTTCGTTTGCTTGTTTTGACAGAAACACACAGAGAGGACATGGTAAATAAAGCTATCCTCTGCACAGCTCCTGGAAAAGAAAGGCTGCAAAGCAATGTCAAGGGAAAAAAGCTCTGCCCTGGCTGCCCCCTGCCATGGCACTGTCCAGGAAAGCACCTCCCAGCTGGGCCTCCAGGGACATGGAGCCACAGTGGCATCCATGTTCTCCAAGAAACACATGAAACCACACATGGCCATAAACCCCCCTGCACTGTGGCTCCATGCCAGCCGCCTGACTCTTGGCCTGGTAACAGGCATCCCCAGCATGCCCCAGTCAAAAGGAGTCTTTGCTCTTTTGCTCAAGGGATGCCGCAGGGCTGGGAAGGATGCCCCAAATTACTGGGAGCCTCCTGGTTGCCATGCTGCAGGGAGGATCTCCAACATGGCAGGATGCCCTCTTGTAGGGCACCAGAAGGGTGGCTGAGCAGGGCAATGTGCACCCCAGGGAGTCCTTGTTCTCTCTGGGTCTGTGGGGCAGGAAGGGTTTCCTCCTCCATAACTCTGGTACTGGTGTGGTCTGCTGCTGTGCTGTGAAATGGGGTCATGCAATATGAGGTCTGTCTTGTTGGGAAAAGATAGTCTGGGATCTGGCAAGACTCTGCAGTGCCAAGTGCTCCCATTCCAGCAGTGTCAGAAAGCCCCCGCTGTGCCAGATACAGGGCAAGGAGAGTTGTTCCCTGTGCCCAGTGTGCAGTGGAGCAATGATGTTTATCATAGCTATGGTAAGTCTCCTGCCCAGTCCCTACTATTTCCTGTCATTCTGAGCATAGGATCATAGAATCATTTAGGTTAGAAAAGACCTTTGAGATCATCAAGATCATCAAGCACTGCCAAGTCCACCACTAAACCACATCCCCAAGTGCCACATCTGCGCATCTTTTAAATACCTCCAGTGATAATGACTCCACCACTTCCCTGGGAAGCCTGTTCCAATACTTGACAATCCTTTTGGTAAAGAAAGTATTCCTAATATTCAACCTTAACCTCCCCTGATACAACTTGAGGCCATTTCCCCTTGTCCTGTCACTTGTTACTTGGGAGAAGATAATGGCTACAACCTCCTTTCAGGTAGCTGTAGAAAGAGATAAGGTTTTCCCGAGCTTCCTTTTCTCCAGGCTAAACAATCCCAACTCCCTCAGTTGCTCCTCATAAGACTTGTGCTCTAGATGCTTCACCAATTTCATCACTCTTCTTTGGAGAAGTTCCAGCATGTCAGTGTCCCAAAACTGAGCACAGGACATGAACTGTAGCCTCACCAGTGCTGAATATGGGGGGACAATCACTGTCCTAGTCCTGTTGGCCAGACTGTTTATGAAACAAGCCAGGATGCCATTGGCCTTCTTGGCCACCTGGGCACACTGCTGGCTCATGTTCAGATGGCTGTTGATCATGCAGAAGCCAAATCACCAACATGAAATAACAAAATGCTGGTACAAAATCACAGCAGAAAAAAGGCAAGGGGTCAGGTAGAGAAAGATGGCAAAAAAAATAAAAAAGAGATGTTCGCTGGATGTGATAAGCAGCACCATGAGATTTGCTGCTATTTTGGTTGCTCTAGTATGTTCAGTGAGGCAATGACATGCTTATCTGTTGTACAGCAGCTTCTCTCTCTGCTGGCTCCTGGGTGCTGTGCTAAGCTGTGTGTGATGCAGTTGTGGGTGGCTGGGATCCAAGACGTGCTGGCAATCTGATTCCCCTCTTTGTGACATTGACACAGTGGAGTAAAGTCTTTCTCCCATACTCTGCAAGGTCTGGATGGCTTTTTAGGGAAAGGTGTCAGGTCAGAGAGCCTCCATAGACTTCCCACAAAACCCAGCCTGTGGTTCCCATCATGTGTCCTTGCATGAAGGGAAAAGTAAAGGGTATGCAAATTATTTCTTCCCTACCTCCCTCCTTACATTCCTAGTTACAAACAGGGTCTCTAACTTAAAGTCTCTCTGACATGTCAAGAAAGGTGTCCTATTCTGCCAGCAAAGACATTTAGAAACATCACTGTCTCCATCTTATCCTGTGCATCTTCCCTCTCTGTAGTTCCTAATTCATATGCAGTAGCTGCACCATCAGCAACAGATCATTGCAGAGTCCTGTGGGACTGGGTCTGAAAAGCCTTTCAGTTTAAGCCCAATCACTAGGTGCTTCTTGCTGCTCCCGACACCCAGAATTTCTTGGTTTACTGCTTTCAGTCCCCAGTCCCAGCCAGTTTCAAGGCAAAGCCCAAATGAATCACCTCTCGTATGCTTCAGGGACAGGCTCATCTTTGCCTAATATATTCATATATTTATGAATATATGAATACCCCAAAAGATGCCCAGAACTACATTAATTATCTTCCCAATTATTTGCTTATTGAATATGTTGGAAGTTCCTATGTTAAGTTGGGCTTAACGGAGAAATGTCCTTGCTTATTGGTGATGGTGGATGGCTGCCTTGCAGGATGTTTTACTTCTGGCTCTGTAGACAGCCTCTCAGTTCAGGCTGATGAAGCCCAGATGCTTGAAGTAGTGGACAGAGATGGAGGGAGTTTGCCCGCTGTGAGAAGAATCCCTAAGAGCAAGCAGGCTGCTCTTCACATGGTATCCTTAGTGTGAATGGACAACGTACACTTAAATTTCAGAGAATAGGTTTTCTCAGATGTTGCAAAAATTAGTCCTAATGTGCTCACAGGTCTTGCCAACCATTAGCACCATGCACAACCTTCCCAGCAGGACAAACCAGGAGTTATTTCATCCTGCCCAGGATCTGCCCTGTGGGAGTGCTTCTTGTTGCCACCATGGCACTGCTACATGCTGCTAGATGGCATTAATGAGCCCCCTCCTCAAATGTGCATTGGGGTGTAAGCCATCATGTGATAGGAGCATGGACACTTGGCCTCCAACTGCATCGGTCCTGGCAGCCGCGACCAGGGTCCCTCATTGGTGACTACTCACTCCTAGCCCTGCGAAACACCAGGCAGGCTTGCTCACCTGGTGAGCAAGGTCCTTTTTTAATTATCTTGCCACAAAACTCAGATGTAGCTGCCCCAGCGACAGCGCTGCTTGAAGAAATGAGAGCATCATCCCTCCCTCCCTGCTCACCCTGCCAGGATTGCTGCATCCTGTGGCAGTGCAGGTATAGGCACCCACAGCTCCTGCTGTGATCCCACCTTGCCAGCAGTACATGCACTGATACATCTCAGATGATTGATGCGTGATTTTGATACATCTCAGATCTCACTCAGAAGCTGAAGGGGTATGAAAAGAAAGTTGGAAAGGATTTGGGCTCATGTTCTTCCTGTTAATATTTTAAGTTTATAATGATAATATTATATAATGATTAAAAAAAAAATCTCTAGAGGCTCTCTCCAATGAGGAAAATTCCAGCACGGAGCAAACTGAGCCCTGAAACCTTGGGAATACATAAGTTAAAGGGAAATTTAGGTGAGGTGGAGACAGCACAGGCCAAGTAAGCTCTTGGTCTTACTGGGACCTTACAATAGGGAGAATCCTGATCCTGAATTTAGACCTCAGTGGTTTTACACTCACAAAAGGGAGGTATAGATTGGACATAGGGAAGACATTCTTTCCTGTGGGGGTGGTGAGGCACTGGCACTGGTTGCTGTGGATGGCACTTGGCTCAGGGAAGCTGAGGATGCCCCATCCCTGGCAGCACTCGAGGCCATGTTATTTGGTGCACGGACCAACCTGGTCTAGAGGAAGGTGTCCCTGCCCGTGGCATGGGGGTCAGACTGTATGGTTTTGGAAGGTCCCTCCCAGCTCCCAGCCCAACCCGGTGCGTGTCCCTGCGCCAGCCAGCGGGGATGCGGGGGCCGGAACCCGCGCACGGGGGAACGGTTGGCAGTGCCGCGTGTTGCCGGCCGGCGGCAGCGGAGGCCATCTCCTCCTTCCTGCTGGCGGCGCGGGGGCGGCGGCGCTGTGGCGGCGGGGCCGGGGCATCGCGGCCCGGGCGCCTCCTCCCTGGTCCTCCCCGCTCCGCTCCGCTCCTTCCCATGGCCGGCAACTTCTGGCAGAGCTCGCACTAGTGGGTGCCGCGGCCGGGGGGCGCGGGGCACGGGTTCTGCGGGCCGTCCCCGCGCTCTGTCCATTCATTGCGGGGCCGGGCGGGCGCGGCGCTGAGGGGAGGCCCGGGGCGGCCGGGCAGCGCCGGGCGGGCGGCGGGGCCTGCGAGCCGCGGGGCCCTGCCTAGAGCCGCGCTGGAGTGCGGAGCGGCCCGAGCCGGCCCCGCTCCGCCGCCGCTTGGGAAGCGTTCGGGCGCTCCGGGAGAGGGGTCAGGTCCCAGTGTCCCCGCCCGCGCCGCCCGGGGCTCCAGCGGGGGGTGCGGGCACTTGGGGCCCTGGCACGTTTGTCCCCCAGCGGTGGGGCAGCCGGGGTCAGCTTGAGTTGGACATTAGGAAGAAGTTTTTCATAGAAAGGGCGATGAGATACCGGAATGGACTGCCCAGGGAAGTGGTGGAGTCACCGTCCCTGGAGGTGCTTTAGGAAAAACTGGACGTGGCACTTAGTGCCCTGATCTGGTTGACAAGGCGGTGTTGGGTCATAGGTGAGACTCGATGATCTCAGTGGTCTTTTCCAGCCTAATTGATTCAGTGATTCTGCCCTAAAACTCTTCATGCTTAGTGCGTCGAGGTTTGAATGGTGCCCATGATGTACTGACTGCAATCTAAACCTTGTTAGTGACTGATGGGGTGTAAGAGCTGCACAGCCATCTCAGTTTGCTACAGGTAGAGGCTGATCTTAGCCCCAGGTAGTTCGTGGTTTTGTTGTTGTGGGGGTTTTTTTGGTTTTTTTTTTTTTTGTTTTTTTTCCCCAGTTGTTTAACTTTGAAAACCCTGGTGAATGTTTGCTTGAGAAGATCGTGTGTGGCTTGGTTAAAGGCTAGAAGCCCTTTAGCCCTGACCCTTAATTCACAGTCTGTTTGTACAGGAGACACTCAGTATAATGTTGATGAAGAGTTGCTGAAATTATTTTCCATTCCTTTAGCTTACAATGGATTTTGGATAAACAAGATCTATTGAAGGAACGCCAGAAAGACTTGAAATTTCTGACTGAAGAAGAATATTGGAAGCTACAGATATTTTTTACAAATGGTAAAACCTTTTTTTTATTTCTGCCGTAAAATCTGTGCAATGTCTGCCATATCTAAATGCAGGCTTGAATTGCTTAGAGAATGTAACGTTTTCATTTTGATATTACATATACTTTCACAGCCCATTTTAACAGAGAACTGCAATATAAATAACATCATTATTTTTTAGTTATACTAACAGAGTTCTAGGAGAACTTACAGGCAAATTAGCTGCATATTAACCTGTGATAGGACAAAACAGTAAATTTTCTTATTTTCAAGAGTTTCTTACCAAAAACATAAAAGGAGGAGAAGCAAACAGAAACTGCTAAGCTAGCATACTAAAGACTCCATATCATGCATTAGTACTGAAACTAGGCTTTTGGTGGGTACTTAGGCTGTGGTATTTTAGGTGATCTGTGCAGTCCTGTTAAACAGCAGAGCTTGGAAACTTGTTATTTGTGTACAGTTACATTCTCTGAAACTTGCAACACAGCCTGTGTTTTGCCTTCTGACTGGTTCACCAGCACCAGGTGGCTCTCAAATTGTCTACAAGTTTCTGAGAGCTGTTGGCAGGCAGCCTGTACTCCCAAAGAATCTGGGACTTGTCTGTGAAGTTACCGAAGTCTTACTTCACCGCTGCATAGTCTTTAACCATCCATATGAATGGCCACATATCAGATTACAAAGGCACTTAAACTCACTTCTTTCTGTGCAATTGTTCAACTTATAAATAAGTATCCCTACACATAGGATATTGCTATCTATTACTTTGTTTGCAAACAGCTCTTTAAATGTTTTTTGCAGCAGTCCTTTAAAGTACAGAATGCTTGTTTTTTCAGACCTGCCCTGAGACAGAGAAGTGAAATGACTTTCCCAAGGCCACTTGAAGATCTTATGTCAGTGCTGGAATGATATCTGTGAAAGATACTTATCCCAGCTTCTCTCTCAGCTTAGTTATTTTTGTAACAATTGCATATGCTGCCAACACTGTCACTGTGGATATATCTGTATTATTGCTTATATTGCACCAGGAAATCAAGTTAACAATGATTTACCCATTTGATCCATTCCTGGAATTTCTTGAGGTTAAAACGAAGCGTCATAGCTTCGTAATGCAAAAAGAGACATAAAGAGGGTATTTTGAAAGCTGTATTTCTACGCTAATTTTCACTAGTATTAATTTGAATTATGAAATATGCCTTTTAAATGTTTCACTTCAGTGTTTTTCTTAAGTAAACAAAGACTTACTAAGTAAACAAGTTAGTTTGTTAGTGTCAGTTCGTGGTTCTCAGGGTTCCTGTTCCTTGGCACTCCCTGTCTCCCCTGAAGGTGCAGTGAGTGACCAGTGGCAGCTGGAGAACAGCTCTGCCAGCAACTCCCCATGTATGGACACAGCCTGCTCTGAAGGAGATGGTGGTGCTGGGCTTTACCCCTTCTCGAGCAAAGAGAGACACCTTCATGGGGAGGACAGTCAGGGGTGCTCTGTACTGGTGGGAGCTCAGGCAGAGCTTGCCCTGTCCAAGCCCTTGATGTGTGTTCTGTCATCCCCTGCCTCTGAACAGGGATCCTGCTTTGTGTCGTCCCTTGTCTCCCATCTGCACTACCTGGGTAGGGATATGAGTCTTGGCCACAGCATGTCACATGAGTGTGTGTCAGCCCAGGAGATGATTGTTCCCTAAAGCAATCAAAAAATTATTTGGAGAGAGGCAATTTCCTGCTGCTTCATCATTGGAAAACAAGTGCAGTAGATCATGAACTGATTTTATGGCCATGCACAACTATTCAGAGTACTGTAAAGAACGAAAAAGATCATCTTCTGAAGTAGTTTAAAAAATGAAACTGTTGATTTCTCTGTTTGGATCACCAACTCTTAACAGGTTTTGTTTGAAAAGTGCATTAGTTGTTTTCCCTTTCTGATTTTCGGCAGAAGCTGTAATGTTTGTGTTAGAGGGTACTCAAAATACTCGGATTTAAAACAGGCTTTATTAAAAAAAAGCAAGCACTGAAGCCACTTATTTTAAACATACAGGAATAAATAATCCTATAGTTTCTTTTCAAATATTAAAAAAATAATTACAAGTATTGGACTTTTTCCCAGCATATACAAGCTTCCATTTCATTAAGTCTCTCTAGGCTCTTGTCCATTTTTTTTCCTAAACCACACTTGATTTTTCTCTTGACAGCAGATGGCCTAACTGTTCCTGAAAATCCCATGGGAGTAGGAAACATATTTGGAGAATTCTGTTTAGCTTAATATTTGAATTTTTCTGATGCCCTAGTAGTAGGACAGCTTTTTAGCCCCATGGTCAAATCAAAGGGAAAAATTCTTTCAAACCTGCTGATAAATATTTTAGTGTTTGTACAGACATTGCATACTGCACTTAGCATCCTTCCTGGCAGTATTGCTTGTCTTACTGTCACTGGCAGCCTAGTCCCAGTTTGGCATTCTTCTCTTTAGAAGTTTCGACATCATAGACAGGGACTTAATGTTGCTTTGGGTGGCCACAGTGGATGACAAATTAGTCAGGTGTACCCTGACTATTCCTGGGGCATATGTGGTAAGAGCATGGGGAAAACACTCTGGACTTGAGTGCTTAAGTAGAGATTAAGAATTTAGTGATGACTGATAACAGAATTTTTTGCTTTTCCTGCCAGTGGTCACTGTCTTGGTCTTGCTGTACATATTTTAAATATATACTTAAGTGTATTTTAAAATATTGTTTTTGACATTTCTCGTGAGGGAGGAAAAAAAAGAAGAGGGAGCCTTCACACAACCGAGCCTTGCTCAGAATAATGGTCGCGAAGAAGAATGGGAAAAATAACAAGTAACAACCTTATGTTTCACTGTGCCATTCTTTATATCCAACCCCCGCTCTTAATCCCAGCTTGATGCATCTAATTTGCTTGGCACCTTTCCTTTGCCTGGGAGGCCAAACAAGAGCTACCTGCACAGATGACACCAGGGTTGTTTCTTGGCCAACTGGCAGAGGACCACCGTGATGGAGCAGCTGACTGCATCCTCTGGTCTCCCACCCCCTCTCCCTAGACTAAATATGTCATTTTTTTAACACCTGCTGCCTCTGCCAAATAAAATGACCATGTTTTTGTTGGCAGCTTTACTTGTTTGAAAAAAACGCCATCCATTTTGCATGGCACTGAAGAACCATAGATTTATATTTTCTGTGTTTGAATTTGTTTTGCTCTAAAGTGGAATACCCAAGCTTTACCCTTCTGAGATTTGTGTTGTCATCTGCTTAAAGGTCATACTCACTTTGTACACAATGAAGTCAAGTTACCTTTCCCTTTTTGAAGGTGTCCCCGAGCTTCAGGAGGCAGCGGTTCTTCTTTACTTGTGGGTCTGTAGGTTTACAGCAACATGTTCGCACCAGAGCTACGTACCTGAACTGAGGGAGAAGACTGTGCTGCTGCTCCTTAGAATCCCCAGCACTAGTCATGTTTTGAGACCCTTTGCTATTTGGTGTCAGATTGTTTAAAAAACTCAACTCAAGCTTTTGTTCATTTTTTTTTAAGTTATCCAGGCTTTAGGTGAACATCTTAAATTAAGACAACAAGTTATTGCCACTGCTACAGTCTACTTCAAGAGGTTCTATGCCAGGTAGGACTGTTTACTATGATGGTACAAGAATAAAACATTTGCTAGGCACATTTTGGTAGCCCTTTAAAAATGCAGTTCTGTATTAAAAACAGTGCCACTTTTGTTTTCTGGATGGTGTAAAGCTTTTATGCCTTAATAAAGTTAACTTAAGCTTTGCTTTTTCAAAAGGAAGTGTGGTGCTCTTAATAGATTAATCGTTCTACGTGTATGAAACAACATATTATAATTTTGTTGTAACATTTCAGATATTCCCTAAAAAGTATAGATCCAGTATTAATGGCTCCTACGTGTGTGTTTTTGGCATCCAAAGTAGAGGTATGAAGTATTACAATTTTTTAATGTAAAATTATGTGATGTATGAGAGAGAAAACGTTTAGGACTTTTACATTTTTTGTCATTCTTCATGCTTTGGGGGTTGAAACCTTCTCTTTTTTGTATAGATTTCTATAGCATTTAAAAAAAGGAGACAGAAAAGGCCTTCAAACGTTATTTCACAATTTTGTCTATATTACTAACCCTAAGTGGCTCTGAAAATTGAAGAGAGTATTTTAAATGGCTGTTTCACTGTGATACAGTGTTTGTTTACATATTTACATACACTGTATCTTAAATTGTGCAGTCTCCTTTCTGTGTGTTTTTCCTTATTTATGTTTACTCAAACTTTAAAACATAATTGGAATTTTTTTCCTAATTATCCCATTCTATTTCATATAGTGAAGAATCCTCAGAGTTTACCACACTTTCATTGCTTGAATTAAAAGTATGTTGTAGCTCATGTGCTGTCCTTAAGAAATTATCGTAAGGAACTGGCCCATTAGGGATAGTGGTGAGAAGGCTCCATGCCTCCACCATTAAAGCCCACTTTGAATGTGGCCAAGAGTCAGCATGAGCTGGGCACTGCTTTTAGTCCTCTGTAAATGCAGAAAGTTTTACAGCTGTCCAAGAAGTGTCTGCATAATAGAAAAAAACCAAATTGGCCAATTTGTGATATGTCAGCACTAAGGAATTTCACGGGAGGAACTCAAAATACCTAGTGAATGGTAGAAGCAGTCCTCCTAAACCAGTGTCTACATGTGATACGGTTGTCTGTACAAATACTGTGACACTTTTCAGTGTTTGGAAGAGGTGAAGGAAGTGAGAAAGACAGAGCTGGAGAGATTGTTTTTTTATCAGCTTGTTAAATAAGCCTTTAAGAAAGTGCAGACAGAGTTTATACATGTAGATATATGCCTTATATTTTAGAACAAATATTAGAAGTCTGTGTAGCCTTCCTTATTTTAAAGCTTCTGCAGCTTTAGAGGGTACCTATAGCAGTAATGACTCAGCTATGCACTTCTCTGAAAGAGCAACGTATACAGAAAATTTTCTGTTTGCTGACTGTCCCAGCAGAGGACCTAAGTCTTCATGGAAACATAATTAAAAAAGGTAGTTAATGTCAGCTTTCTAAAGACAGTTTTCTCTCCAAATGGGATAAGAAAAAAACCTCATACCTTCTTGAAGCCCTCTTGTCTATTTTATATGCAGTGTTAGCCAACTGAGTTTTTGTGGCTGTAGTACCATTAGTAAATCTTAACTGTTCCTCACAAAAACAAAGTAACTAATCAGTGAAATAACTCTTTGCCTAAGAGTCACCTTAAAGGAAAGAAAAAGGGATGGGGGAGAAAACCAAATACTGCAGTACTGCATAAAGAAGCCCAGTTTAGTAAGAAGCCATTGTTTTAATTTGATAGCAGTGTGAGTATGTGGTGTTTCAGGTGGTTCACCTCATTTACCATTTTTTCCTCAGGAATTTGGTGTTGTTTCAAATACAAGGTTGATTTCTGCTGCTACTTCTGTATGTAAGTATCAGTATTTCATTATACTGTAGTTCAGCGTGTCTATAGGGAGATCAGATGCTTTCTTTGCTTGTTTTTAAAAGGTAGCTTTTTATCAAATCATGGAGGACTGTAAGAGCCAGTTAAAGCCATTTAGACTAAATAGCTTCTGTTTCTAAATATAGAGACAGAAGGGTCCTTTCTGTATTAGTTTTGGTTGATTTTGGTTGGAACTTATGCCAGGCATAAGTAAAAACAAAGTAATAAAATAAAACTATTGAAATTTATAAACAATATGGAGAAGTAAATTAAATTCTGAACTACTCAAAGATAGAATTGGAAACTTAGGGCTTTGTTTGTCTGTTTTATAAAAGGTATGGCTCTATGGAAGTACCTATTTTCAGAATTTTTGGTAGGCTGTATACCTTCAAATTTTTTTAAATCCTTTTCCCCCATCATAAAATTAGTCTTTGCACATGATATTTATTTCTAAAAATATATTTTATAGCCTATATATTGTTCACAAATAAATTCAATAAAATTACACTGTAGTTACTTAGTTCTCTATCTTTCCCACTTGCCTTGTATTTCCCACTTGCATCTCATCCGTCAAGGTCTTATAATGTTGTCTTCCTTAACTGAATGCTATTATCTGACCCAGAAGGTCAGTTGCTCTCAATAGGCAGATCCTGGCTATGCTCTTCAGTATGTAGGTCAGTGCTTTCAAAATCCCTCTCAGCCATTGAGGGGACAGGTGACTGGCTGCATCTGTAGCTTCCACATGCAGTGAGTGTATCAGTCCATGGGGCTGGCTGTATGACAGTTCTGCCACCAGGAGCTGAAACACATCTTCAGTGCAGCACGACCAAGACCAGCACTGGATTTAGCAATGAGAGTTGCTATTTTTACATCAGCAGCATCTCTGTGGAAGTTTTGATGCATCAGTGAGAAAGTTAGATGGGTTTCGGTAAATATGCAGTAGCTGATTTTACTTGGACATCTTGTTCTAAGCTGTGCTGTTTCTCAAAACCCCAAGTCTCAGGGTCCTGTAGAAGATTTCCCTCACACCTCTTCCTTCAGACCTAGAAGTCTTGTCAGCCCTGATTAGTACTATGCATTTAATGAAAGTGGGGACAAAATGCAACAGGCTTTCTCCAAGCATTTATTCCTTTGTAGAAACATAAACTTACTAAAACATGCTTCCATTGTAAGGAACATAATCTCAGACAGGTTTCCAGCAACATCTTCAAAAGCTTTTTGCTCTGTTTCCACATCTCATTAAAAGGACAGCTCCATATGATTGTATCTGCAGCTTGCTTTGTGGGAAAAATGCTTTGTTTTGCCATCTTTTCCCTCAAAGTGGTATATTCTTTTACCATGTACATCTTCAGTTTGTGTACTTCTTGAGAAACCCTTTTTATTAATTTTTCTCTTTCTTGAAATAATTAAATTTTCCAACCAGTAGCCTAGTCTTAGTGTCCTAAAGCAAATTTTCTAGTAAAGTCCACCATAGGTCTAAATGGTGAAGTCTTTAGTCCAGACACCTGATGCTGTCTTTTCTTCAAAGTAAATGGTGTACTGATTGTCTGGAAGTAGTATCAATAGTATCAATTCATAATATACTGCCTGTCATTAATATAGGGAATATTATCCACTTCCAGGATGTTAAATGTTACCAATGTTTTCCGTGGAGGACAGGGACTTAAAATAGATTTCTAAATGTTTCACTTGTAAAAATCTCAAATCCACATCCTCAAGTGTACTTAGTTTTTCTTTGTTCACCATTCTAACATGAAATCACTCTGGTTTTGCATCTTAGCATACTTCTTACCAGTGCACTATCTCTACCTGTTCTCCTTGTAAAATATGCGAAGATTAATTAGGTATCTAAATCAGAGATCATCATAAGCTAGAAAACTGAGGATATATTTGAACATGGTCCTGGAGGCAAGTGTCTTGAATCATGTCACATGCCAAAGCAGATGCTTAGGTGTCTCTCTCAAGGAGAGGAACAGCCTTGAAATGTCTGATAATCCAGTGCCTAGGATGCTGATCTGCAATGGGGTGAATTGACTTCTTGCTTTGAATTTAGCCTGGTTTTTGTATATCCAAAATCTTTATATCATGGACATACAAGAACTCTTGATTTTCTGAGAATTCATTAGTTGTTTTAAAGTTTTGCATGTTGAAGGATCAAGCCTATGTAAATAATCCCACGTGAAAATTCCACTTGGATTTAGTGTTGGAACTCAGATCCTAAACATCAGTAGCTAGATAGCTCTGTGAATGATAACTTGTGGAAAGTTAGGTGTCCATGAACTAGCTGGTGGTTTACCAGAAGATTTAATATTGTCCAAAGTGGCAGTCGAATGTCTGGCTGAGTACCTGTGCAAATCTGGGCTTCAGGTGTATTTCTCTTTCCTTTTCAAGATCTTAAATCTGGTAACCTACCTTTTCTCTTTGAAATAAAAACCTTTTCTATTGCAAGCAGTTGTGTTGCCAAAGAGATTTGAAGGGCTTTATAGAGATGAATTAATAGAAAGGGAAAGAAGTAAAAGTGTTAATTACATCATTTTAACATACTTGTTTCTCCTTACTGTAGTGAAAACTAGGTTTTCATATGCCTTTCCAAAGGAGTTTCCTTATAGGATGAACCATGTAAGTATGCTATTAGAAATACTACTTGATCAAATAAATTAAGGCAAATAATTGTTAGCAGGAAATCTTGTCTTTTAAATTCTAAGAAAGAAATATTTTCCTGTTTATATGTCAGGGCTGTTCATAATTAGTTTTTCATAGAATGTTGGGAAAGTTACTTTTAAAAATAATAAACCTTACATAACCTCTTTTCCTTAAATTGTTGACAGGAAAGACAAGTGATGTGACAGGGTGACTGAAATAGTTGTTCTATAGCATGATGATAAAAGAGATTTAGGTTTTTTGAATGTTTTTATGTTCTTATTTACAAATACATTGCTCCAAGGAAGGTAAATGGCCCTTGCATCTGGGATGCTTCCAAGCTTGCACACAGGAGCAGTTGGCTTACAGAAAGCAGTTTTATTTTTGCCTGTAAAATGTAATGGCTTTTGAAAAAGAGGTTTTTTTTATTATTTAAAACTTAGATTTGCCAGTGATTTTCAAGGCATTCTCAGTCACAATGCTGAGAAGTTCTGTAGTTTTTCTTAAAACCAGTTTTGACCTGTGCTGTAGAATTTTGGAAATTAAACATTTAATTATTTTTAGATTGACTGTAACAAATACTCCTTTTTTGTTGGTTTGCTTTTCACCCTATCTAGAAAGCCAAATGATACATTAGAATATAGAATATCTAAGAGTTTACAATAAAACTGCTATTTTACAGATAAAGGCAAATGGAAATCTATTTTGGAGTACTTCTTTCGATAGCCAAAGCAGTCCAGTCTTTTCCTCGATGTCACTGATATGTTACTTTCTCTATCAAGAGTGAGAGCTGATTTAATTGCTACAACTGGACAGAATATTTCATATGAAATTAGACCGGAAAATACTTTGAAAGACTATTTGACGTGTTAGTGGCCTGATGAAGAAGCTCTAATTCTACAAAAGAACTTTATTTCTGTTAAGTGTTTATGCACCGGGAACAATTTTCACCTAGGAGTTGAAACAAATCAGAGAAGTACTGTCAATGATGTAGTCTTTCATAGTAAACTTGATCCAAAATATTTAGATTTGTTACTACTGTGACTGGAGTGAAGTTATAATGGTGATAAGGTAATTGCCAATAATAGTTTTATTTTTTGTTTGGTTTTGTAGTTTCAGATGAAATGCATTTAGGACTGTTGGAAGTAGGTGTTGAGAATTCCTATGCATTTGTGATGTTAAACTGTTAATTCTTTCAGTTTTCTGAAACATGCTGCTGATTAACTGTGATTTTACTTCTTTGCAGATACTAGAATGTGAATTCTATCTCTTAGAATTAATGGTAGGTTGGGTTTTTTGGTGGAACTGCTTCTGTTTTTTAAAAAAAGGTAATTGTATCTAAGTCCCAGTGCAGAGACTAGGATGTCAGTGTCCTTATTTCCCTAGATGAATGGCCAGTCATGATCATAAAGACTCCTATCCTTTCTATGCCCTCTTCTTCTTGCTTGGAAGAACATACACATGTATGTTCCAGCAGAAGTTGTGGGTACTATCCCACTCAGGCTAGTCTGTAACAATCTGATAATTAGAGTTATCTTTTAGGAAGTGAGATGGGTTTGAATCCTGTGAAGAAGAAGCTGAATTCAGCTCTCCCATTTTCTGAGATGGTGCTGTAACTATTACGCCGTTGGGTGAAAGGAGCACAGTGTGACATTTTCTTCCAGACACTTTCAAAGAAAGGAACTGTACCTGCTTTTTGTAAGAGTTGCTATCCCATCACTCTGTTCGAGCAGCTGAAAGGATTCAACCCAGGCTTCTTAGGGGGCTAATTTCTCTCTATGGGTTGGACTTGGATGGGTTAGTAGTTCTGCTCAAGTGCAGAGAAAAGGAGACAGAAACCAGGGAGGAGCCTAGTGAGTTAGACAGCAAATGAGAAAGAATATGTGTTGGGACCAGAACACAGAGGAGGTCAGATCAAAACTTTTGTTTGTGCCTACAGTTGTTTTAGTACATTTTTTAGATTCCTATTTAGATTTAGTCCTTGATACCTCTGGTATACATGGCAGTAACTCTTGTGTTTTGTATACTAGAGTTTTATCACAAGCATTTACAAGAAATTATGTTTTGGGGATTCATGTATTTTTCCAGTATGCTATGCAATATATAGTATGTGCAATAACAGTGTTTCACTTAAAGTGTTCAGCACATGTAACTTAATGTGGCTTTTCCCTGTAGAATCCATACAGTTGGCTTCTTTTAGCTAGAGAGTTATTCTTTCTTGTTTACCTGAACCTGAAATGAGGGGATTTGAGAGCAGTGGAATTTTTCTTTTCTTTCTTTCCAAACCAGTGTCAATTATTTTGGCATGCTTTCCATGTATGGTATTTAGTAACAGACAGTTTTCTGGCTGTGTTCTGTATTTCCAAGTGGGAACTACGGATTTGTAAGCAAATGAGGTTTCAGTATGCTGCAGATGTGACTTTCTGTGTCTCTTAGGGGAAGGACATTGACAGATTGGCAACGCTGCTATGTAATGGTATTCTAGAGAGAGCACTGCCCTCATTAGAGCAGGGCTAGGTGTCAGAATGCTACTTAAAAAAATAATCAGCAATTGACTTGTAAACCAAATGTTTTAATACGAACTGACAACAAGCTTTGCACTGTAATCTAACTTTTATCCCATTGACATTTTTCCTAGGACTGCTGTTTGATAGTATATCATCCTTATAGACCTTTGCTCCAATATGTACAAGATATGGGCCAAGAAGACATGCTGCTACCTCTTGCATGGTAATGAAGACAATGGCAGTAGTTCCTTCTTTCATCAAGAATGTAACTTTAACAGTTACGCTTCAAAGCTGGCTAAGCTTTTGTTTAACCAAACAGGCTTAACTATATTTGAATACAAAGGATGCCCTAGCTAACCTGTGCAGGTGTATGTTCCTGACTTAGATTATTTCTGTCTTTAACACTGTACTAATTTTACTTTGCAGTGGTCTAATTTTTATTTTTTAGACTAGCTCTAATAGCACAGTTTTTACACTACTGAATGGTGACTATGAGTAGAGGAAATCTCTATCGACATCGTCTTTCTGTTGTATCTTGTCGTAGGGGGTAGAAACAATATATAGGGGGTTTTAGCTGTGTTAGCAGAACTCTTATTCTTGAACTGTTTCAAATGCAGAAAAACAGTAAAAGTACTACTTTTATGCTTGACCTTACTTTTTTGTGAAACAGATTATTTTTTTTATGGTATACATCAACATCCTCTGCAGAAAGACACTTATGATACTAAAACAGTGTTTCCAAATAAACTTCTATGGTGACTAGAAGGAAGAAAAAGAAAGGCATTAAGAGAATTTTTATAAGGGAAAAGATCTCTTCCCTTGATGTTTAGCCCTGCAGCCTCACTGCTTCTACCATCTGGGAAACTGACAAAATATTTGTAAGCTGACAGCAGTTTTTGAAGTCACAAGGTGAATAATAAAGGTGAATAGGAGGATCCTTATAAGTTCTCTTTTGCACAGGAGGATAGTGAATGACACATACAGAACTGATCTTTGTCTGCTGTACCCTCCTTTCATGATAGCTCTAGGTAAGTAACACAAGTACTGTCTCTTGTCATGTTTAAATGGATGTATTCTCTGCACTGTCCCATCACAAGCATTCCTCAGAGTGCACTCATAAGGTGCTTCAGGTTGTGTTTCATACAGCATTGACAGTGTAGCCTTGCAACTTAAAAGGTCTTAAAGAAAAATCAGGTAATTAATCCCAAGTTTTCTCTGTTGAACTGTGTAGGGTTTATAAAAATAGAATGTTTCTAACTGTATCAGGAGTGGATCTTTGTTCAACATCCGTGTAACCTGTTCTTTGCAGCTTGCCTACATGTGGCCTGCGTTGTCCAGCAGAAGGATGCCAGACAATGGTTTGCTGAGCTGTCTGTTGATATGGAAAAGGTACTCTTCTTTTTATTCCCACCACTTGTAATGGACTGACCAGAAATGGTAACTGTGGTCGTCTTACACATCTGCGATACTGATTTGAACTTCATTCAGTGATCGTGTTAGATGCTATTAAATTAGGTAGATCTCTTGGGGAGGGAGACAGTGTAAGGTTATTTGGTTATCACCCTGCTCTGAAAGTTGAGACAAAACCATTTGATAACAGAAAAGCGTTGCTGGTGTTGCCATCTTTCAGACGGAAGTATAAAACCAATACCTTTTACATTTTTTGCCAGAAAAATAATTCCCGATGTCTTTCCATCATACAAGATTGCCAACATGAGTTTGACTTTTAAATTCAAGTGCACGTTGATTTTCTGATACACCTTTCAGCTAACCTTTGTTTAGCTCCAGCAAGCAAGCCAAACTAGTACTTACACTCCTTATCACACTGCTTCACTTAGCACATATTTTTTTCAATCTGTCTTTTTTTGAAACAGTGTCTGGAATTAAATACCCTGTTATGCATGAGATGTACCATTGCCCTCTGTGCCCTTGGTATTGCTCTTTATCCCGCTGATGTTATCCGGCATTGTATTTGTATTCCAGGATTTGTCTTCAAATGTAAACACAGTGTGGATACTATGCTGCCTCAAGAGCTCTGTGAATTATGCTGTCATGCATGCAAAAGCAGGGTGATAATAAACTGGCAGCAGAGGAGAACCAACCTATATTTGACAAATAAGGTTACCATAAGCTTGGTACTGAACATGTTTGAATGTTTACATGTCTTGGTTCTTATGTCAGTGATACAATCTAAGCTTGATTTTTTTCACATGAACACCATGAATCTCTTAGCTAACTATGACTTTTGTTTCAGGGACATATATTGCTCTAGCACTTAATCAAAGCTCATGCATTAAAAAGAAGTCTACTTTATTAATTTAGAGAATGATGAAGCAAACTGTGGACCAAACATTATCCATTTGTATAGAATATTGCACTAGAAATTTAATAGAAAATAAGGTAGTCGAGGTGCAATAGATAGAAAATGTCCAAACTGGTAGAGAATGCTTATACTTCCAGAAGTGGAATATGAAGTGTCAATAATTCTTATTATATGTATGTAAGAATATAATAAGAAGTATTTAAAAACTCTTTGGAATTGTTTCTTGGAAGGTAAGAATTCAGATCAGTATTTTATGGGTTTGGGCTTTTATTTTCCAACATTGTGCCTCTAATACGTGTAGAACATTGATAATCATCAGTTACTATATTAATAATCCATAGACAAGTAGCTGCAGTCATGCTGCTAGTTTTCCTTATTTTCCCAGTAGCATAGTTATAAGCTGTGGCAGTAGTTGCAAATAAATATATAAATAAAAAGCTATTTAGTTTGCAGGGGAAGAGAAGCGGTATATACAGTTGAAAGGGAAAGTATTCCGTTCAGGCTTTCATTCACAATAAAATCAAAAAACTAATTAAAGAAATGCTTGATTGCCACCAGGTTAAGTGTGAGGCAGCTGTTTATAATATGAAAATTGTGCTGTTTAATTTCAGTCTTGGGCATGTTTAATTAATTACACACTTAAACTGATTATGAAAAAGATAAAATCACTGTTGTGTCTGACCTCAGGATCTCCTTTCTTTCTAATTCAGATTTTAGAAATAATCAGGGTCATTCTGAAGCTGTATGAGCAGTGGAAGAACTTTGATGAAAGGAAAGAGATGGCTACTATTCTTAGTAAAATGCCTAAACCAAAACCACCTCCAAACAGGTACTGTACTTGTTTAATACACCTTTCATATGGAAAAAGTAGACTACTATCTTAAGAATGTGTGAATGTTTAATTCAAGGTATAGCATATGTTTTTACAGTGCAGAGGTTTCTGTTACAAAACCAGTATGATTGTTCAGGAGCTAGTGAGAAGCAGAACATCCACTGCCCGTATGGGGAGTGTTAATGTGATTAGAATGTGATCAATACAGCTCAGCAAATGTAAGGAACCCCAGTGTGAGGCTCCATGGCTGGGCCAGATTCAATGGAACTGGGCCTGCTTGATGTCATATTTAATTACTGTGATTAAATATCACTGTTGGGAATCTGCACATGTAAATTCCCGTGCACATGCTTATGTAATGTGAACTTTGCAATGTTGACTTCAGAAGTAGATTCAGCAGGCAGCTGCATGGACATATATTGAAATTATAATTCAAATAAATATGGTGAAGTTATTTATGCATGCTGAAAATAACCTTTGCATTTTTTATGAAACTGAGCAGAATATCCTTATCTGTTTGTGTATATGTTGAAGTATTTTCTATCAAAAGGTTTTTATTATTTTCAGAATTCTGTATTTTTTTAATTAAAAAAAAAGGATAAAAATGTAATACCATGCTTCTTATTGAAGACACGTGTTTTTGTTTTTTTCAAACAGTGAAGGAGAACAGGGTCCAAATGGTAGCCAGAACTCTAGTTATAGCCAATCTTAAGGCATTCCAAAGAATTTCTTTATGGACCACTTTGACTCAAGACATCTTGGGATCTTTCCTGTGTTCATGAAATGGACAGAAGGTTTTAGTAACATCTTGGACAAAGAACTCGAAGAATAAATAGCTTGTTTGTGTCAAGCATTTTGAAAGCTTTTTCTCTAAAATTACAACATTTTCTCTGACGCTGGAGCAAATGTGCTAAGATTTTTCAGTGTAAGGAATCAAACATTAAACCAAGCTGCAAAAGATTAACACTTTTCACTCAAAACAAATAGTTCATTATTGATTTTATTTGCATTGAAGTGAACTATTTTTAAAGTGACAGTAACCCGAAGCCTAAGTGTAACTGTATTGACTTGTGTTGTCTTCATTTTGTTTGTGACTGAAGGAAGATAGTGCACTGTATGTTAAATCTATTCATTACCTTGAGTTTTGTTGATTTAAAAAAAATAAATACAGATTCTGTAACAAGTAACACACAATCCTTCAGAAACAAATTCCTAGAAGAGCCTGTAAAGAGTATTGTTACAGTTTTAATGAAAGCTGCAGGAAAGAAAGTCAGTTTCTTTTTTTGGATTTATAAAAGCTGTTTTCCTCAGTAAACCTACTTGGATGTTTTTGCCATGATGCGTAGAAGCCCAGCTTACCAGAGAAGTGCAATATGTATAGTGATTCTGCAGTTTTCTGAAACATTTCAAGTGTTAGGAATTAAGAAACCCCAACATACGAGGATTTTTTTTTTTTCAAATAAATGTACTATATGGTACAGTCAGAGTATTTCACAATCAAGTACCAATCTGGATATGATTTTTTATGGTGGATTTTTTTTGTAGAAAAGATATACACTGTTAGTCTGCCTTCACTGTTAGTGTGAATTTGTGTTAATTTTAATCAGAATGTTATGAGCAACTCTAGAATAACTGAAATGGGATTCCTTGGTTAACTTTGTGCTGGAGAAAATGAGATTCCTTCAAAGAGAAGGCCATATCCTGTGTTCCTTACTCAGGCAGATATCCCACTGAAGTCAGGAATTGGCCTAAATTGATTTCTTGATTTTTTTTTTTAATATAACTTTGTTTTTCATTAAGTTCTGTACAACTTTATTTTGAATGATAATGCCAATTTGCCCAAGTACAACAATTGAATGATAAAAGTGCAGTAACATTGTTCTCTTTTTTTTTTTTCTCCTGAAACAACACATTTCACTGGCCTGAAATACTGGAGGTAGATTCTTGAAAAGCTGTGCTCTGTGATGCTCTGGCCCCTTAAAAAAACCCCACGTCTATTTTTGCAAATACCTGTCTTTGTAACTGGCTGGTCATTCAGTGACATATAACTGACCTGTGTTTGTATTTAGCCCATTAGGCTACTAACGTTTATTTCTGTTCAGGTTATTTCCATAAACCATTAGGTAAGCAAGCCCCAAACACTTTGGTGAGATGGAAAATATATACAGTTTGGTCTTTGCTACTTTTTTTGATCCATACCTTCTATAAACACTTAATTGATGAAGTGGAATTTGGCTGTTTTGCTTTCATTTCTTGAAGTCTAAAATGTGCTATTTGTAATGTGGACTTGGGGAATAGAAATAAATCAAAGCAACTTGACCTCTGTTGTGTAGAGTTCTTAAACAGGAACTGTTCTTCAGGTAAACATCAGTCTTCTCACATATACCACATAATCTGCCAAGAAAGCTCATGTTTAAGAATTAGGGATTTCACACTATTAATGAAGAATTCTGGCTGAAGTGATTAAATTTTTTCTTGCCGCTCAAGAGCCTTTGCAGACTTTACTTCACACCTAAATCACAATGTGACCTAAACCTCAGAGCTAAAATGTCGGGCACTTCTTGATGGTAACTAGAAGTTTCTCTGCATTCTCTGCTGGGGATGTGAGGATAATTTTACCAGCTCTGATTCAAATGTAAAAGTGAAAGGCAGTAAAGTGCAGTCAAAGGAACTGGATTCAGTGATGACAGTTTTAAAAAGAAAGATGTAATGTGGAACAACAGGAAATGCAACACAATGTGAATTTAACAGCCTTGCTACCAAGCAGACAGAAAAAAAGTCACCTTTCTTGTGTTGCATTTCAAAGGAGAGGTGCATAAAAATGTATTATCTCATTAAAAGGGAGGTAGCTGAAAGTCTTCACAGATGATATGGCTACAGGTGACAGTGGAGTGTCAGAGCAAACACAGGCCAAAAAGACTGAAGAAAAAATTCCAAAGGAAACAAACTGAACTGGATCAGACAAGTTAGTTAACGCAAATTATATTTACATAAGGAAGATAACAGAGGAAGACACAGAAAGGATCATCTAATTTGACAAGCTACAAATAGTTTGAGAAACATCTTGCAAAAAACTACCCAGAGTAATAAAAAATGAAAATAAAAAAGAGGTACATAGTAGCTTTCCAATTAAAAAAAACCCCACAACTCTTCAGCTCATAAAAGACAGCAGAGGTCTAGAAAAATCATGACTGGTGTGAAGACTGATGAGGTAACACCTCTTCACTTCTGACAGAAAAAGCTGGAGCAGCTGATGAAAAAAATACATGGCAAGTTGAGAAGCAACAAACAAAAGGAAAGATTTATTACGTTGTTAAGCCCAGTGCAGCCTGCTGTGTCTGCTGGGAGTTTGTGCTTAAACTGTAAAAGTACCCAAATATACCAAGACATGCAAAGCCTGAAGAAGTATCAAAACACTGCATTGTAAATGAGAGTAATCTGGGGATTGTTATCACTACACACTAATCCTGTGTTATGCTTTTCCTCAGATGTTTCTTACCAGTTGCTGCCAAACAGAAAAAAATGGGCTAGATAGATCTGGTGTGACACAGTGTAATTGCTGTTTATTTTTTGTGGCTATGTAGTTTTAGGTGTTCCTAACACACTTTAATGTAGCTACAAAAGGAAGCATTGGCTGCTTACACTGATTGTTTAGTTGATTAGATTGCCTTGCTTTTTTCATTTGTATATTGAAGTTTGGTGGCTTGATCAATACAGCTAAGCATGATATACATTCAGATAAATGTTTTCAGTCTCTCTCAAATCCTCTCTATACAGTCTGTCCTTAACGACCTTCAAAAGGCATCATTAGTCCTGGTTAGGCCTGGCACTACACAGCCAACAGTGGGTTTTTGTTGCCCCCTTGACCACATGCCCATAGCATTGTGAAACCAACAGTCTAGGTCACGTTAAACAGGCAAAATTAATGGATCATAGGATTTGGCTAACTCCAAGGGAAGTGTTGGTATCCATTACTCTTCCTGATCCAGTCTGAAAAAGACCTTCAGGAGTGAGATAGTTTTTTTTTTGCAGAGTAATTGACTACAACAAGGTAACGCCCATGCTCATCCTGGCATTTTAATTTCATTTTACTCCCATTAATTCATCAGTTAGACCAAACCAATATTTTGGAAAATAGTCTAAATTCTGGTTCTGAAGTTGTTTGGGGTTTTTTTATGGATTGGAAATACAGTATAGCAATAAGACCACTAAAAAGTCAATAATACTTTGAAGAAAAATGCACTTATTACTCACTATTCTGACAGCTACTTACTAGCAAAGATGAGAGCACAGAAGCCCCTGTAAGAGACACCATCAGAGCAGCACAGCCAACACAGCTGGCTGTGCCAACTACAGTGGTTCTCCTTTAAAAACTAATGACTGCAAAGGCTGCAGAAATAAAATTCTAGTAATGTTTGTTATTTTATCTTCTCAGTTCTCTAAACTTGAGAGGGCATATTTTTTAGGTCCTCTTCTAACCGTGCAGGGTGCACTACTGGAACAGCTGTAGGATAAGTGCACATTGCTTGCAATACCACAAATTTCAGTTCCTTTTTCCAGACATCCTATGGAGCCCTAAACTTCTGTGCTAGGACTTTATTTTCTAGAGGCCAAAGCAATTCACCTTTGCAAGTTCCCCTGAACTGCTACAGCATTAAATAAATTTTAAAAATTCCTTAAAATTATGACTATGCACATTTTTAGGGGATGATGGGTTGGTATGTTTTTTAAAGTTAAGACATGCAAATTACTGTATATAGAAGGAAGGTAGTTTAGTAACTTCCTTAGACACCTCTAGGGACCCCTGGTGGCCTAGTAGTTAGCATGCAGGACTCTCACTGCTGCGACCCAGGTTCGAATCCCAGTCCCCTGGGCAGATGGAGCCCGTTAGCCCTGTGAGGCCATCCATCTATGAGAAGGTCACTCTAAACAAACCTACGTCCTGAGGACCTCACTGCCATTGTCCAAGCTTGCTTGGCCCCGGCAGATGAACCTTAGGATTAAAGGGTGGGCTCAGTTCAGCGCATGCTGTGTCTCACCTAAAAAATCCATTGCGCAGGCTGGAAAGGTAAAAGACCTTTCCCAAAAATCTTCGTTCGCGAAGACTGGCCATTATTAGACACCTCTAATTTTCCAGTCTAAAATTATTACAACTTTGTAATAGTAACTTCAAGTATAGGCAAGTTCTCACTTGATAGTGAGCTGCTGAGAGAACAGAAGTGTTGACTTAATGTTACAGCACTGTGGGCTCAGAAGCAGATCTGCTTATAAAAGTGGATATACTTTTAAAATAAGGAGTCATACAGCATTTTGAACAGTGAGTATTCTAGCATCAAGTCAGTTTCCGTATGTATTTTCTGACCAGTAGCAATGTTTTGGCCTTACAATCACATAGTTTAAACATAAAAATTTGTGCTCTACTTTACTCTTTGATAACACAGCAACTATTGTAAAACTTCATCTACATGTGAAGTATAATAAATCTGGGCTCAGGGCAGTCACCCCAGTTCGATTAGAATCCTACAGTCTAACTATTCTAAACAAACTACCCAACACAAATATTTGGGAAATAATTTTATTTGTCCTATCATCATTAGTTTAAATGGTCACAAACTCCATCATACAAAAAAAAAGTAAACATAAGCACTTAGATTCTCTTCACATGCACTCACCAAAAACATAGGCCAAAGTAAAGGCTGAAAGGTTGAACAAATTTAATGTCCTCTGTTCATGTCCTAGTCTTTAGACATAATTTAAACCAAGCAGTTGATATGCATGGCCATTTGAAGGTGAATGTCTATTTACACAAGAAGACAGGAGTGAGCTTTATTCTGGAAGTGGAATGCACAGTTAAATGCTAAAACCTACAAACCATCCTGAAGCCTTGATGGAGTAAGGGTTGGGGCAGTCACCTTCATTTCTTTTCTGGCGGTTCATGTTTTACCCAGTCCTCAAAGCCACCAGCATACTGCTGAACTCTGAAAATATGCAGAAGATACCTTTTTCAAGAAGAGTCCTTCTTAACATTGTATCTTAAGAGGACATGGCAAAAAAACCTAACCCAAACCAAACCAAGAAAAAAAAAACAACAAACCAAAACCAACCAAACCAAAAAAAACCCCAAAACCACACCAAAAAAAAGAGGGAAAAAAATAAACATATGAAAATTCTCTGCAATGAAATACACTTGTACTCAGCTGTGATGAGCCAGATGGGCATCCCTTGTACTCTAATCCTGCCTCCTTCCATGCAGTGTGTTCTGTTCCTCTTTTTTTCCAAATGACACAATGCTGGAGACAAACATCAAGCAAGAAATAGCAGCTGTATCAACGAAACAGTTTTTTAAAAAAGTGAGAACAGACTCACTGCAGTGGAAGATTCATTTGGTATTATGTCTAATACTTCAGATGTCATCAAATAAACACAGCACAATGATCTTTACTTCCTTGCAAACCTACACGCTCTATAAATCTGACATAAACCTGCACAAAACTTAATTCTGGAAGAAAACCCCCAAAAACAATACTGACTCCTTCAATTAGGCATTATGAAAAACAGGTAATGGAGGATATTTTGCACTTTGAAACAAGACTGTGGTTCCATACTTTTGACTAGAATTAGTAGGAATATTCCAGTTCATGAACTGCAGTTCATGAAAGCATGAGTAAGCCACCAATGTCTTAAATTTTACCTGCAGTCTTCAAGCCAGCAAGGCACCTTCCAACATGGGTGTAACAATTCTGCCAACCAAATGCTGCTTTTGATTTCACTCTATCATAATCTCTTATTTTTAGCTATTGCCTTGACTGCTTTACTCTTGGCAAACACTCCAAAGCTTTACTGAAAGTGAAGGCGTACTTTGTCAACAGTGAACTATACAGGTAGAACTGTAATTCAACAAAGGGTGTGGTTTCATAAAATATTTAAGATTGTACTGCTACCAAAGCAAGCAGTTCACCTTTCAAATCATCCTGCATCTCAGGACTAGTACTTAAGAAGTTGTATAAGGAAGCAATGTCTCGGCAAGGGAGCTGTTCAGTGGCAGTGTGGTCTTGGAGCAGTTTGCATCACCTGCAGCACATGCACAGAGCTGCTGAGGGGTTGTGTTCAGAGGACAATACAACTCACTTTGCTGGAATACCCAGTGGCATCTTTCAAGGCTTCACGGAGACACAAGGAAGCGTCTAACTCAAATACCAATTGTTTTCATATTCCACATGTAAATTTTTACCCTTGCCCACAAGATGAGTTCATGTTCTGCTTCATGAGGGGTAGCGGCATTAATCCCATCCTTACATACACAAGTCATACCTGCTGAAACCCAAGGACGTGGCAAAACCAAGTGCTTGTTTACTTCTTGTTCCTGCCAAACAGGAGAAAACCACAGGGTCCGACTTGGATGGCATCTTTTGATTGTACTGCTCCTTGAACTCCATTGGGTCCATTTGTAGAGCTTCCACTAATTCACCCACTGGGAAATACAGAAAACAAAGTAATATTTATTTTCCATTCACAGACAGGCTTACACTTCAAGGCTTCTAATTCCTCTAGAGGAAAAGTTCAACCTCACAACATACTAGCAGCTATCTAGCACCGCTGCTCTTTGCTCAGTCACCGTCACATGTCCGCAGCCTTGACCATCAAGCCAAGGGGAACAGGGAACACCTGACGCTCGCACTCAGCGGCGTTCATAACTTACGCGGGATGTTGATGGACTCTGGGATTTTTCCAAACCTGTCGATCTCCCACCTCTCCCGCACGTCAATGTGGAGCACGCTGGTCTTCTTCAAGTCTTTGAGCTCCCAGTAGGAGAGACTGGGCGCCCCGCCGGCGCACAGGCTGCGGCAGCTGCGACCTGGCGGGGAGGCACAGCCCGTCAGCCGCCGCAGGCCCCGCGCCGCGGCCGCCTGCCCGGGCAAGGACACCGCCGCTAAAGACATCCATCCACACGGGGCTCCGGCAAACCTCACCCCCGCCCTCCCCCCGAGAGACACGGCCGCCACCCCGCCCCTGCCTCACCGGGCGCTGCCGCCCCCAGGGCCCGCGCCGCCCGCCACAAGCCCCCGACCACCATCCCGGGCCGCGGGCCCGGCCCTGCCGTTTCCCGCCGGCCGCCAGCACCCGCCCCCCCCGGCGGGGAGGAGACACCACCTTCTCCGCGGGGCGGGGGCTCGGAGGTTTGATCGCTGCCGGTCCGCTTAGAAATTCGGGAAGCACCACTGGGGAAGCCAGGCGTGGCACCTGCCCGCACCGGAGGCAGCTGGGTTAAGCAGCCACCACCTCCGTTTCGGTACACCCAGCTACCGCCGCCTTGCCTGGGCAGGGTGATTTCTACCACTGAGCCAAGCTGTCGAGAAGCCTTAAAGTATCAAAGGCTGGGAGTCTGAACATGGATGAGGAATTTTGATGCCAAATCTACTCAAAATGATTAAAAAAAAAAACAACACAAAAAAACCCCCACCAAAACCCAAACCTCTGAGTGTTACGTCCGAGGAGAAAATGTGATTTTAGCAATGGCCTGCACCCCTTTCACCACAGTCACTGTTCCCCTACAGCCACAGGAGTGTGGTCCAGGCACCAATCTCCTCTCTGGTGACCAGTGAGAGAGGACTTGAGAGAATGGCCTGAAGCTGCATCACAGGACGTTTAGGTTAGACATTAGGAAAAGGTTCTTCACCCAGAGGGTAGTCAGGCTGTGGAACACCCTCTCCAAGGAAGTGGTCACTGCACCAGACCCGCTAGAGTCCAAGAAGTGTTTGGACAGCACTCTCAGGCATATTGTGTGATTCTTGTGGGTGTGCTGTGTCGGGTCAGGAGTTGGACTCAATGAACTTTTTGTGTCCCTTCTAACTCAGGATATTCTATGATTCTATGATCCCATGATCCCTAGTTTTAATACCCCTTGATTTTGAAAGCTGTCAGTCTCCCAGCCGCAAGGACTGATGACCAAGATATATAAGTAGAGAAATGAGGGTCCTTCCATTGCACACATTTTAAATCAATACTCCATACTTACTACATACTTTTGCAAATATATTACATACCAGCAGTTCCAGTCTTTAAAAGCAGGCATGCTGGATCTTTTTGTAAAAGATGCATTTTGAGGAGTACGTTGTTGAATCTTTACTAATAAGAGTCTTCCTTCTCAAAATGAGAACAAAATACTTCTTGGTACTGTAAAGTGTGACGAATTGAACTTGGCACATATAACTGGTTCACTAGCTGCCCTTCTGCCAGCCTCTCCATATGGCCTCCTTGACAGGCATTTGCAAATTGTCTCTCTGAAGCAGTGTATCTATTTATGAATTGAGGTTTCATGCATTTCCCATTTTCCACAAGATCTGGGTAGAATACACTACTTCTAGAAATTATATTTTGAAATATAATCTACTGTATATTTTATCTGTAGTAAAATAATGTCCACGGTTAATCTCCACTTATTGTATGTATCACTGTAAGGACCATAAAGCATTCAATGTGAAGCACTAGGATACATGTCACATGAAATGCATATTCAAATGAAACTGCATTTCTGTGGTTTTAATTTGACCCTGGATCATGCTATGTACACAAAGCGAGAACACACTAGCTTGCTTGCAGAAATAGGAATCATCCACTATCCATCTTGTGAAAGACTGAGAGTTTGAAGTCAAAAGAGATCAAGCTTGGCGAACTCCTGTGGTTTGATGAAAAAGTGGGAAGCAGCACGTTCAATTATGCTTTTGCCTTCATGGCACTGTCATTCTGCACTCACTCAACCCTTCCTCAGCAGCTTTCTTCATTTCACCTCTTGGGACTCTCTCCTCATTTCACCTCCACTTCACTTTCCAGTTCTGCACAGCCTCCCACACTCAACCCCAGTGCCATAATTTCCCAGACCATTACCCAGCTGCATTTACTCTTGCACATTCTTTATCCCCATCTTCTCATTTGACCGAAGACTTTGTTGATCGAAGAAATGGTTCACTAACCATTTCTTTTGCTAACCATGTTTGCTTGGTCCAGTGACTTCTACCTGCTTCTCTAACCATTGTTTCAGCTTACTTGTCAGCAGATCCACTACAGGTTCTCCATCCTTGGTTCTAGAGGGGTGCCACAGCGACCTCACCCTTTCTCCCTTTTTACTTTATGCCTTATTACTGGGTGATCTTACTCCAATAAAACTGCTAATTTTCAGTCCTTAATTCAGATTTGCCTTCTGTCCAGTAAAGCCGCCCGTATTTTCAAGCCACTTGCTGAGTTTAATCCCAACCCCAGTTTCAACTAGTTCCTCGAGTGCTGGACGCCCTTCACTCTGCCTGTCTCTCAGTGGGGATATGCACCTTTGATTCTGATCTCCCTCCAGTCCCTCCCACGGTGGCTGCCCTGAAAATCCACGCAGGGCCCAGACCCTGCTGTGTAACCTCTGGGCAGGACTGTCCACACCCCTGCGCGGGCACAAACCCAGCGCAGCATCTCCTGCTCTTTCAGCAAAACTCCGACGTGAAGGTCACCCCACCACGTCTCCCTTCTTTTGCACGCCCTTTGCCCCAAGTTTCTAAGGTGCCCTCCAACCAAACCCACCGCTACCTGTCGCCTCTCAGCGGGCCCGTGGTGCGCTCCCGCCCACCCTCGGGTGGCCCCGCTTCCCCATGGCCCTTCCCACCCGGGGCACGCGTTCTGCCCTCGAACCAGCACCAACCCGTCCAGGAGCGGCCCGGGCAGCGGCCGGGGCGGGGAGCGGCGCGGCCGGGGGCGGAGCGGAGCGAAGCTTCCTCCGCCGCTTCCTGCAGCCGCCGCGCTTGCCGCCGCCGCCCGGCGTTCTGTGAGTGCGGGGCGCGGGGAGGGGGGGCCGCCGGCACATCGCGGGGGCGCCGCGTCCGCGCCAGGCCCGCCCTGCGCAGCCGAGAGGGATCGCGGGGCCGCGGCCGGAGCACTGGTTCCGGCCGGGCCGGGCCGGACCGATCCTCCCCGCCATGGCGGCGGCCAGGCCCGCGGCCTGCGGAGCCGCGTCCCGGGGGCGCCGGGCTGAGAGCGGGCGGAGGGGGCTCTGCCCCGCCGTGCCCCGGGCCGGGCGAGCCGCCCCCGTCGCTGCTGGGGGTACCCAGGGCTGCGCTGCCCGCGCTTCTCCCGCAGGGCGCCGGGCTGGGGGCCGAGCGCCGCTCTTGTTGGGTCGCCGGCGACGAGCTGCTGGTGGCGACCGCCCGCTGTCGGTGTGAAACGGTTAACCCTGCCGGGATATGTCCGGGACCCGCAGCGCGTTTCTCCGTGTATTACATTGGGGAGAGGCGGTAGCAGCGCCTGTGGCAGCGCTGAACGTACGCCCCGGTCACTTGGCACTGGGCCCGGGGGTACGATGGTGCCTCGGTTCCGTGTCGTGCGGCCAGCGCGGCTGCTGCGGCCCCGCTGTGTCGGCCTGGAGCTGCCGCGGCCTCGGGGTCGGTGCCCAGCGAGCAGGGACCGGCCCGTGCCCGGTGGTCAGATGACAGCCCGGGCACGGTCCTCGCGATTAATCGGAGGGAGACGTGGTATTTTAGACCCATAGCTGCAACTCTGCGCGTTGTATTTGATTTGATGTTGGGATTCTCTGATTCCTGGCTTTTTTTTTTTCTTTTTTCTTTTGCTATGATGTCCTTTAGGACTTCATTCTGCCCTTGCTATAGATATGTTACTCCTCGCCCTATTAAACAGGATATATGTGACTGTGTATTAAAACAAGGGAGCAGTAGAATGAAGACGTCAAGAACATGGAAGCAGATGACAATAGCTGCAGGTGTAGCACTGTATTCTAATTGCATCTCATCTTTAACTACAAGTATTTCCCAATTCCATGAAATAGTCCTCTCATAGGAGCATATAGAGCAGAGCTGCAGTTAAAGGATTTGTATTTATTTGTATTTAAAGTATTCTTTCTGCTCTCATTTTCTAACTTTTAAGTGGGAGCATAGTAGTGGCACGAGCATGTGCCAGATTGAAGCAGAATATGCCTTTGTGAAATTGTTTTAGTGTTTACTACATTTGTAAATATTTTGTCAGATTTGTTCATGAAATATTGAAGAACTGATGCTCTGTAGTTTCATTTCTGAGAGATTCACAGAACTGCCGCTAGCGTTTCAGGGGTTCTGTTTTGAGCATCGATTGTAGATTGAGGACAAGTTGTTCCACTTCAGACATGTCATCAAAGCAAACTGGGGCAGTTTATGTGGAGGAAGAAAATGGAATGAAATTTTTTGGTTTTGGTGGCAAGACTTAGGCTTTCAAAAAACTCAAACTAGTTTTCAAATTTACGGTTTTATCTATTCTATCCTCATTACATAACTGATTCCCTCAACACTCTTCCAGAGTATATGGGAAGTTATGCACAGCCATTATCTTCGTTTATCTGCTCCAACTCAGCCGTTTAGGCAGAGGTACAGCAGGAGTCTTAGCTTAACATATGGTCTTGTGTGGGTTTCAGCCTTCTGTCTCACACACATGCTGCAACCACAGTTCCTTTTTTATTTTTCTGAATTCACAGAATTAGCATTTTTCTAAAGTTCATCCTTTGCTCATTTTGTCCTTCATGTTCTCTGACCAGCTTTTCCCCAGTTTTTAGCCACATGGTTATCCCGTGAAGGTGCTGTGAGTTCCCTCTCCAGCTGTTTCAGTTGTCGTACTCTCGAATTTTCTGCGGCGAGGGCGCTGTTACATCGGTGTTCATATCACAGAAGTTCACAGTCTGTCAACTCTGTCATCTGACTGCCTTTTCACATAAAAGTTTTCACTTGCAAGCCAGCATCATTAGTTATAAGCTCTGGCTCTTCTTCTGATACTGTGTTTTGCTTTTTAAAGCGTGAATTTTCTCAGAAAATCCTCGTTGGACCATCAACACATCTACTCAGGTGTTTTTTCCTCTTGGTGTGTTCATGTTTTTTAAAAAAATGCATTTAATGTGGGACAGAGAACATAAACAAAAGTTGCGATTTGCTCTTTGGAGCTGGATATTGATATATGTATCCCTGAAATTTTCCTTAAGACCTTTGCTATAAGATACTAGCAAAAGTATGTTATCAAAATACTACTCTTTTTACCCATTCAGTCCTTTAATTTACTCTAGTTATCAATCCAGTTACAGAGTCTTCTCATTCTTGTTTCTGGACATATTTGGTTTCTGTTCATCCTTAGAAGTAATTTTTTTGTGGCAAGTGGGTTTCAGTAGGAAATCTGAGGGGGACTGTGCAGGATACAAACATAAACGTTGACAGCCTGTGTTTACCATGGGCAGCTGGATAAAATAGATTAATGAAAGTGAGAAATGCTATGGGATAGATACAACTTGGGAAGTTGTATAAGGCTCCGTCTCACTCCTTGCTAAGAAAGTACATCAGTGTCTCACCCTTTTAGGACTGTACTATAATGTCAGGATTGGCATTTGAGCTCCAGTGACGGTGTAGGATGTGTGATGTGCCTTTGGGCTAGGAAATCTTGGAGATGACACTTTCAGAATTTCAGATGACATTTTCCAGGGGAAGAAGCTTTGCTGCCACTACCAGTCAGCAATTCTGGTCCTTTTACTGCTCTAGCAGGCAGTGGGGGCTTGTTTGCCGCAAAGGTTTTGGTGGCTGTCAGAGTGCTGAGCCTCCTGGCCCGCTGATGGGTGACACTGCCTAGTTGCTAACTGTGATGGATGTGGTTCCTGCTTTGATTGGGTGACATTTGATCTAGTGGTGAGCAATCCAAAATGCCATAGGTAATGCTTGGAACAGATGTCCAAAATATATCAACTTGCAGCTTACATCAAAACATGTAGCAGTTGTACATGTAGTAGTGGGGGGTCTGGCATTACTGACCCATACAAGGCTCTTCTGTCTGTACTCTCACAGTTACGTGGAAGATCATAAAGACCTGTCTCAGATGTGCTATGGAGCATCTTTGGACTTAATCTGCACACCTGTGCTGTTCCTCACCCCCTTGCCTTGGAGCAAGGCTGCTGTTGAGCTGGAAGTGCTAATTTTTCCTTGTATTCAGTGAGTGCTATGTCCTTTGGTGTGACACAGGTTTTTCTTTGCATTAGCAACAGAAAATGGTATAATTTAAACTTGAAACTTTGACTGCAAGTGGTGAGACAGCTGGAATTTAGAGTACCTCAGACGAAGTGAAGGATTGGGGTAAATGTATTGCCCCATCTTCCTTGAATTCAGGTGCTCACTGATGAAATAATTAAGAATATTGATTTCACAGTTAATGGACAGTCCTACTGGGAGAGTATTACCCATATCCAAAACAGTATCTGGAGACTATCTATAGACTCACTTGGCTGTATTTCATAGGTTAAGTATGCTTAAATAAGCTGGTGTGTTTTTTGCCTTTTTTATCTTGTTTGCATTCTAGCAATGCAACTATAATCCTCCTAGTTAATCCAGAATCAGGAAAAGTATTGGAATAGGTATTACACAGATAAGAACAAAAATGTGGCACTCACTTGAAAGAGCTGGCTCCCTAATTATAGGAGAAGGGAAAAAGTGGATCGTGGCAGATAGAAGCAGTGATATGGTATTAGCCAGTAGAGCAGGTTGTTTCTCTAACATAAGGGTGGTCTGGTTCTTATTTCTTGTAAGCATCATGGTGAAAGTACAGCAAGTGAAAACTCATTAAGGTGATACATTTCAAAATTTAGTAAGTGAACTATGTAGGCATTCTAGGAGGGACTCAACTTCCAAGTAAGAAGTGCAAGACAGTAAGATGGGAAAAGATGTTGTGAAGAGGAATGATTTGATTGGTTGGTTGGTTTTTGTTTGGTTTGGTTTTGTTTCCCAAAGAAAAGTGATTTTTAGTTCATACTAGCCTTGTATCTTTTATTGGTCCTAGCTCTACTGAGTTACAGTAAAATGTAATTTTTTTAAAAAAATAGCAGTTATTTTAGGAAGTACATTCAGCTCTTGTAAGTATCTAAATGTATACTTTATAAAGAGAGTCAATTTCTAAATGCAGGAATATTAATGCTGTTAAATATAGACTTTTTCAGGCATACCTTACATTTAAAATAGTCTAGGCATACCTTAGATTTAATTTAACAAATTCAGCACATTGATTTTTGGCACTTTGTCAAATTTGAAACTTTTAAAATTAGATAGGGCAGATCATTCTGCTGCTTTTGCAGTGGTTTATTCTTTCTAGAATGGTGGAAATGAGCAGTTGTAGTGAGGAGGTTTTGATCTTAATCAACTTTCTGTAGGCTGACTGACATTAGTAGGAGTCTTTTAAGAAGTAAAAAGTTAACAGAGAATAGCTAGTGATGATGATTACACTTCAAACTTTTGTATGCTGAGCTCAAAGAATCTGAACATGTTTATCAAGGACTAGTTCTTGGGTTTGTATGAAATGATTTTAAAAAGGAAGAGATTTAGCTTTTCCTAATGTGACTTTTTCTATTTTTCAACTTTTCCCCATGAAACTGCATGATTTCTACTTAAGATTTTTACTGTGTGCCAAATAGAGATCTGGGTGGAGCTAACATGCCCCTCTCAACTCAGCTTTTTCTACCACAAAAATTGATGTCCTTTTAGTTGTCAGATTCATTAGTCAAATATCTTGTGCACCGTGACTTGATTTTATGTATGCAAAAACGTTTTGGTTTTGAAATGTTGATCATGTTAAAATTCTTAAGAAAGATGTTTTATTTGTGATATTTTCTGTCCCTAAATGTACTGGAAAAGGGCAGATAGTATTGCATACATACCGTGCTACTTGCATCGTAGATCATATGGAGTAGCTCATTGCTCTTACCCTTCCAGTACACTTACATGCTTTTCAGTCAGGCACAAACCCTGTCTGTCTAAGTCCTTGATATGCTCTGGCTTTTCCAAGAGCTCACAGGTCAGTAAACATTGTCTGATGGATGCCCCTCTATATGTGTGTTCGTGAAAAGTAATTAATCTAATGGTCCATGTTGTCTTTTGCTCTGCCTGCTCTTAGTGAAAGGAGACTGAAAAGTGTCTGGGCTGTGCAGTGGGTTCCCAGACCTGCAGTGTGAATGCCAGCTTCTTATGCCAGTGTTCATTTCTAGTGCCATATTGATTATGCTGGGCTTGAAATGCTGTGTTTTCAGTCATTGCGGTATCAACTGACGCTTTCTTTTCCACGTGTCCTGAAGGTCCCTAGAGTGTGGGTTCAGCAGTGGGCTGTGTGTGCCTCAATCCGGATTGTGTCACCTGCTCTGCGGGCCACAGGATCACGGGTGGTAAAAACTTGCTTGTATTTCAGCTGGTTGGGCCCGTAATTATTTATCTGAGCTCTGAAAATGTAGTGATATGAACATGACTTTCATTGGGGTGAAGTCTCTGGTTTGGACAGTCTTACGTAATCTGTCCAAAGAGATCAAAATTGTTATGCTGAAATGAACTTGTAGGTTGTTTATGTCAATGTTGAATAACCTAAACACAACTATGTTCCTTTAGGGAGGACATTTTTGCTGCCTTTGCTATTGACTCTTTACATAATTTAGTGCAAAATACTAGAGTTTCTAACAGCAGTTGTGTCCGCCTTACTGTTTGATATGTGTCTCGATGAATCTTGTGCTCAGTTAAGTGGCAGTGCGACAAGTGGTGATGGGTAGTTTCACATGAAGCTTGGATATATATGATAAGGTCCCAAGGCAGAAATACACAGTTGAAGTTGTTGGAATCTTTTCGTGTTCTAGGGATGCCATGTGCATGGCTGTTGATGGACATTAGGTGTGCTAACATTTGTTCAACATAAATAGTCAAGGGCTGGAATATTTAGATCTTTGTTACTGTATGAGCAGGAATAGTGAACCTGTGAAATCAGCAAAGCTGAATTCAGCAGCATTGTTCACTTGCATGTCTAAGCATTTGAAGCTTTATAACTGTAAGTATAGGAAAATTTTAAAGCTATAATTTAAAAACATCATGATATTTAATATAGTATTAACTAATTTCTGTGTGAATGTAGCATTCTGCAAAAAATGCATTTATTTTGAAAGGTTGAGGAGCCATGAAGCCGTTGATGCAAAGAAGCAGAGAGTAAAGGCTTCTTTTGTAGTCTACAAAAATTTGGCCTGTCCAATGCAAATCTGTAACCTATACCTTCATGCAGACAACCTCCAGCGCTAATAGTATGGGCGGCAGGTGCAGGGACGTCTGTCCAGATCTGTAGGAACCTGGAACAGGACCTCTGAGGTACAGATTGCCTGCTTCGCTTCAGTGCAGGCTGTTCAGATACCACTGATGGTGGTGCTCTAGTATCAATATTGATGACTGTTCTGCTGATTGGCTTAATGTTTAAGAAAGGAGAGGGAATATTGAGTTCAATACACTGTGTCTCTCAGAACTTCGGTCATACAAAGGTTTAAATGCATATACAGAGAAGATTAAAAAAACTTTTATGTAGGCTAACTTTTGAAACTTTGGCAAACTTAACTAGTTGATGTGTAGTAATAATATATCTTTTGCTATTCCCAAATGTAGGGCATTTTAGAATTTTCCTACACATAAATGCAGTAGCACAGTTGAAAATGTTTGGTACTGGTGGCTCAGGTGACATTACTAGCCTGTTTGTGGTACACAACAAGACATCATTTTTTTTCTAAACAGAATGGCTCGCAGTTTGCCGTGTATGAATATTTGACTATCTTACATTAATATGCTTCACATATGAAAACAAAAATTTGTTTTTATGAAACACACTGTTAAAAGACAAACTGTAAACTAAGCCCCAGCAGCTGTTTGTGTGATGTACAGCTACACTCCTTTAGTGAATTCACATTTGGATTTTGGTGAAATGACTGGTGTGCTGAAATCTCTGTGTATTTTTTTAATGTTTAATGGCAAATATCTATGCTTTAATTCTGTTCCTTATAGGGCTCCTTGATTAATGACCCAAATTTCCTATGAGAGACTTCATCCTTACGGATTTTCTGATGTTTAATAGAGGGGTCAGCTTGCCTTCCAGTTTTTCATCTCTCGTAGGATAGGACACTTTAATCAGATTTGGAAGACTTTTTGTGTTTACTTAGAGTGTTTGAAATTGTTCAAAAGCTTTTAGGGAATTTGCCAAGGGTAAGGGATGACTGTAACCTTTCCTAAGGGATATATTTTAAGGAGGAGGAGCTTTTATTTTGATGATGCTTTTCTGGTGAGGTATGGTTGGAGCTCTGTAATAATTTGTTTACAAAAACAAAAATAAAGGAAATCTTGGTATCTCAGATATTTAACAGCACTGTCTAGAAGTGTGTGTGTGTGTGTGTCCTCTATTGTCACAGATACAACTCATAATATCATGTAGTGTAACTGATCTTGCGACATTCCTACTAGTTAATTCCTGACACATTCACAGTCCTTGTTACACAGTAGCTGACATTAGTCTAAGCCTAAAACTGTGTTAGTGAGGTTTGAATGTGTGATTTGATCTTGTGCTTTTGGAGTTCAAACTCATTACATTTGGTGAAGCATTTACATAGCAATAACAATAAAGCAACATCTGTCTCTCTTTCCTAGGAAGTAACAGATGCGGGTGAAAGATCCATCAAGAACGAACTCCGAGAAGCCGAAGAGAAGCAAAAGGCCTAACAGGCCACAGGATGAGGACTCTTCAGATGATATTTCAGGTAAATACATTAGGTGATGTTTGTCCCTGAGGTTGAGGGCTAATAAATTCCATATTGACTGATGAAAACCACCAAAAAAAAGTACCATGAAATACTTTTCTTGTTTGAATGTGTAACAAAATATCCCCACTCAATTGTTTATGACATGATCAGTTCTTGTGCTACATGCCTATCCCGAAGGGCTGGAGAATTGGTTGATCTTCAATGACAGCCTCTTCAAAGCAGAACGGTTCTTTCCTCTCTGTGTAAGGTCATGCACATGTGGCAGGAGGCTGCTTGACTGAGTGGGGAGCTTCCAGATGAACTCAGAGGAAAAAAAAGAAGGGCAGAGAGGGTGATGGCATGTTTGGGCTGCCCTTGCAGAAGTTCAGTGTGCAGGATTAGGAGTTAGGTAGACCAACCTCTGTTAGAGTTGGACCTGATGAGGGGCACGAAGAGTAAGATGGGCCTGTATGGATGCCATGACAGTAAAATGATAGCTAAGGTGAGTGCAAACCTGCTGCATGAGGGTTCAGAGGACCTAGGGACACAGGACATGGGAAAAGGCTGAGGAAATCAATTTTTACTTTGCCTCTGTCTTAACGTGTAAGTTCTTCACTTGATCCTCTCTGACCCCTGAGCCCAACGGCAGACTCTAACGTTGTCTAGGGAAGAAGATGGAGAACTGTTAAACAAACTGGATGTCCACAAGTCCATGGGATCAGATGGGATGCACCTCAAGGTGCTGAGAGAGCTGCATAATGGTATTATAAGGTTACGCTTTGCATCCTTCATAGTGGTTGATATGCAGGAGGGCAGGTCTGCCATTCAGAGTGACTTAGACTGGCTGGAGAAATGGGCTGGCAGAAACTTAGAGTTCAACAAAGGCAAGTGGAGAGTTTGGCACCTGGGCATAACCACATGCAGTTACAGGGTGGGAATTAATGGCTTGAAAGCAGCTTTACCGAAAAGGTCCTGGGGGTCCTTTGCTGAATGCTGATGCTGAATAAAACCAAGCTGTGCTGTTCATGCTGACTGTATGCAGGACTGTATTAATTAGAGTACAGGGCAGGCAAGGTACATGATTCTTTTTATCTTTTCAGCATGAGTGAGACTTCATCTGGAGTACTGTGTCCAACTGTGGGCTTCCTGTTACAAGAAAGACACTTACTTGTCAGAATGAGGCCAGTGGATCACTCCCTCCGCATTGTTAAGGAGATTGAGAACATGATGTGGGAAGAGAGGCTAAAAGGAATGTCTTTGTTTAGCCAATAGAGTGAAAGTATAATTTCTTTCTTTGACTGCCTGATGGTAGTTACAGAGAAGACAGAACTAGATTCTTCTAGGAGGTCCACAGTGAGAAGACTAAAGGCAACAGGCAAAAGTTAGGCTATGGAAAATTTGACTAGGTGTGAGGAAATTTATTTTATTTTCACTCTGAGGGTGGTGAGACAGAAAACTGATTTTCTAGTGAGTTGGTAAAACCTCTATCCTTGAAGATATTCAACACTCAGCTAAACAAAGCCATGAACAAACAGATCTAATTAGTATTTGGCTCTGCTTTGAATGAGGGTTTGGACAAGATAGCCTTCAGAGGTTACTGCAAACCTACCTTATTCTGTGATATTATGGTGGAATTTGTGCAAAAAAAAATGAGAGAGAAGAATGGTTGATATTTGTGTTCAGAATGAGCAGTCGTACTAGGGATGCACAGGTATTTGCAAATCTTTATGGGTTGAAAAGGTCAACTGCCTGTGTTGTTGTGTGCAAAAATAGATTTATATAGTGTTTTACTGTCAAAAACCAGGGAAATTAGTTTTGTACAGAAGTAGTGCTTGTACTTTTGTACAAAGTAGTTTTCTGGTTTTAAGAGGTGGCGTTTCTTGACTTGAAAAGAATTTTCATTACAGAAAGACTGAAATAGGTCCTTCATAAAATTCAGTATATGGGGAGCAGCTGGCTGATCTTTCCTATGCTAGTTCTTTGCTATTTTTTTTTTCCTAATGCTGAATTCGTCGGAGATTATGCTCTTGTAATATACACATGCTCCCTTTCATAGCTATTATTTTTAATGGATAAGGTGAGTATCTGTTGTTTTCTCTAGGCTTAACCTGCCAGCACGTGAGCCAAGCAGTGGATTTGCATCATGTGAAGAAAGCAGTGGCTCAGAGCGTCTGGTCCATATGTGCAGAATGTCTGAAGGAGAGGCGGATGAGTGATGGTGAGCCCACGGCACCTTCAGACATATGGCTGTGTCTCAAGTGTGGCTCTCAGGTGAGCACATGCGCTGAATTTAGATGGATTTTCTAAAGAATACGACTGGTGTGAGCCCTTGTCTGTTTGTCATCTCATTACCTTCAGTGAAACAGTGTGACATAAGTGTTCGGTTGTGAGAGTCCATGCTTCAGCTTCTTCAGCGAAGTGGGATGTGACCTTATGTTCTTGTTTCGTTTTTTGACAGTTTTGGGTTAGCTTTATGTGTTACAGTATGATTTGTCATCATGATTAGTAAGTGACAGTCCTGCCTTTTCTCTGTTCTTCATCTGCATGCTCTTGCCATTTACAGAGAATTGGCACCAGGAACTGTGTGGCTGCAAAATGCATCCATTCAGATGGCTCATCTGAGAGAAGTTCCCACGAATACAAATGAAAGAAAAACCAAATGTGTATATTGCTGAATCAGCTTGTACTGTGGACACTCAATTGCTAGATTTGATTGAAACCAGGGAGAAAGGACTGTGCCAGAGTGAGAATGCTGCTTCTGTGGCAGCTAGTCATTAGATTGGATCAATTATAATGTCAAATCTTGGCCTCAGAGTTTAAAACAGCAGGTCCTGGCCCCAGGGGCTTGCACAGGTTTCTTTCCTGTGAGTGAAGTAAAGCCTAATACAGAAAAATTCAGTTTATGGGCAATATCAGGTTTGGTTGAGCCAATAGTTGCCGGAACAAAGCATTTCACAATTTTCTTAGACTTTCAGTAGGTTTTGCTATAGTAAGGACAGAAGCCAGCTCCTCCCAGTATAGTCTGAACAGATTTAATTTTGTAAAGAAACGCGCTATTCACAGGCTTCAGAAGATAGTTAACTAGATCTGAGGAGGACTCCTGTATCTTGTTTGAAAATTTCTAGTTAAGGAGGGTTTTTAACAGGAGTTAATTCTGTGTGATTCTTCATGTTCATGCTGTTAACAGCTTCCAAAACTCATGTCTCATTCAGAGACCAGTCCTGGAAGTCCCACTCTGTAGATACTTGAAAAATTGCAAATGCTTTCTTTTGAAATTGCTGTATATAAATGGTGTGTTCTGAGTAGCTTTTTAGTGCAAAACACTTTATCTACCTTTTTCATTTGCTGTCTGGAATGTATTTGGCATTCTTGAGCAGTGAAGGTTACCTGTGCTGTCCTTTCCTTGGTATTCTGTGGGCCAAATATGCTACATAATTGTTTCATTCACAATTTTTAGAGCATTCTTACTTTTATGAATGGCATCATTTTCTATTGATACTTATTTAACACTTTTCCAAAAGCTAGGAATTATTTCTATTCAGTTAAAACAAAACTTGATAAATCTCTATACTTTTGTCTGATTTTTCCAAGTAGAAAAGATGAGGTTTTGGTTTTGTGTTGTCATTGATTTTCCTTTATTAGTAGAAAAAGTTAATTGGTATCTTTATAACACTGGATTATAATATATTAAATCCTTTCAATCCTTGGGAATGCTAAATGGGTAGGCAGAATAGCTTCTTGTCTAATTTTGAAAAGTGAAGTTTTTGTCATTTATTTACTAATAATATAGTGTTTTCCTTCTTCCCTTTTTTCCCCCTTACTGTGTTGATGTTTCCATTTTTAGGGATGTAGTAAGAATTCGGAAGGCCAGCATTCTCTGAAACACTTCCAAACAGCACGCACAGAACCTCATTGCATCGTTATCAACCTCAGCACATGGATCATATGGTGAGAATGGGTATGCAGGGGTTTGTGTATGCTTGTGTATAAGGATACACATAACTTAAAGGAGTGTCTTCTCATGATAAAGAATGATTCTGACAGATAAAATTAATACTTTCTGTAGAGGAAAGGGAGACTTTCTGGAGAGAAAATTAGTTTGTCCTTTGAATTGTCTGAGAATATTTAAATCTCTAAGTGAATTGGGACTGATCCACAGATGAGCATATACAAGATGAGGGAATTCAATTCTCTCTCTCTTTTTAGTGTGAAAAATTGAAACCTAGATCTTAAGTAATTTTTGTAAGGTTGCTTGAGAGGCTTGTTAGAGCTGGGAGGTGCATGCAGATACTCTGAATTCCGGTTTGTTTCTTCTTTTGTTTAGGTGTTATGAATGTGATGAAGAGCTGTCAACACATTGCAACAAAAAGGTTCTGGCTCAGATAGTTGACTTTCTTCAAAAACATGGTGCCAGGGCTGAACCAAGTAAGTTTGCACAAAAAGCTTTATCTGGAGACATCTGTAATGTACTGACTGAACATTTCAGATTTTGAGTCATGTTAAAAATACAACTAAAAAATTATGTATAATATGACTATAATGTAATTTGTAATTGCACAACTACTTGGGCAAGTAATGCCTGTCAAAACATAATGTCGTTTTTTTGTACAGTTTGATTATATTTGAAAAATATTTTGGGCACTATAGGACAGTTTTTCCAAATTTTGTCTGTAATGGAAAAGTTTTATAATAGAGAAGTTGTTACCTTAAATATAATGCAATATAAAGAAATGCACAAAAAATGTGTTGAAGTATGCACTATACATTTACTATAAAGCAATTGAATTTTCCTATTATGGATGTATCAAAGCTACAATTTTTCTGATTTAAATTCATTCTACACAGTTAAACAAATTTTTTTTGAGTGGATTTTCTAGTACTCTGTTGTTGTATATAATGTTCATTTCTGCTATTTGGTTTTAATTGATAAAGTGCTTATTTCTATTAGTAGAAGATAGTATTAAATTATTTTCTTATATTAGGAGCCTAATAGACCTTCTCAATATATGTGATTGTCGATAGAACTTTCTATATGTGGCCCTCAGCTGTCTACTCTTGATAACATTGACATTACTCATCTCTGCTGTAACATACTTGGCAGCATTTCTGGCTTGTGACTTAGAGAGTGCATTGAATTTCAGATTTTCTTCTCAAAAACCAGCTTGGGTAAACTTTTAAAACAATTGGTTGCATTTTTTAGCTGAGGTAATCAACTGGTTAGAAGTAAGAGTGGAGAAGGACTGCCTTACTGATTTAGACTAGATATTCTAGCTCCACGTGCGTAAATTCCACTGGTTTTTAAGAGTTGTTACGTATTTTTTGAGTGGAGAAAGTGAAGGGCGACTTAGAAATATTATATTTTGATCAAATCACAAGTTATATGTAAATTATTCAATTGTAATAAATTGATAAATTGCTACTTTTTGCATCTTTTTTCTTGGAGATGTGAAAATACAATATGTGATTTTACTTTTATTCACTTCAGTTTCTCTTCAGTTTCATGTTCATGTGTAATAAGTGGTTGTTGCAACTTTCCTGCAAATGAAAATGCTGTAGTGTTTCTTTCAGTTAATGTAATGTATTCATGCAAAAAGTGTGTATGTGTACTTCCAGTGATGTTCTAAAAATGGGAGTCTGTAACCCTCTCCACTGTGGCTGTGCTGAGCAGTTTGGATCGCATTTGTGAAAGGTCTGGGACCGTTGGCCCAAAGTTGATTTGCTGGGTTTTTTAAGTGGCAAGGAGAAGAGGAAAAAGCTTCTGCCTGGGACACTGTTGCTTTGGACCAGGCTCCTTGCGGGAAGAAGCTGGAAAACAGTCATGTATTTGTAAAAGAAATGCATGACAGGGAACTCTCAACCAGAGTTGGCATTCTTGGTTCATTTTGATAAATGACACACTTGCTACTTCCCCTACAGAAATCTATGTAAGGTTTTTTCTTTTATTTAAATTAGACTACCTTTAAGGATTTTTAAAAAATAGAATCTGAAATTGAAATGTAATTCTTGCTGTTGTCTAGAACACAAAGGACACAACGAATAACTGTGAGAATTAACTCTACTTTTGTTTTGTTTAATTTTTATTTAGTTTAGCATTTTATTTCATGTTCTATTGATATTTTCAGTGTAACTGTCATCCTTGAAATTATTAGTTGGCATAGATTTTTAAAATTTATTTTGTATATTCAGCCATTACAAACATAAAATAATTAAAAAAATATGAAAAATAACTGGAGAGAAGCAGTGTAAAACTGACAATTACCAATTCAATTCATATTTCTTGTTTAAAAATCAGTCTTGTGCTTTTTTTTCCATTGCTTTTCCATTTCTTCCTAAAAAAGCAGTCAAAATGAAGACGGTTTTCATATCAGAATGTGGCACTGTAACAACAATTTGTCTTATGTCTGAATTTCTTTTTGTTGTAACAACTGGTTGGCATGGTGCATCATTAAAATTCAAATAATATTGTGTAGAAATTTCTGTAGAGATGCAGTATGAACATGGGTATAAGTAGCAGATGAAGGCTGCTGGTTTTTTTTTTCGGTTCTCAAAAGTGCAGGATTCATTTAAAGATAAAATGATCAGTTTAAACATGTAAGGGAGGGTTATATAGATTTCCTAATTAATGCATCTTGGAAAATAAACAAAAGCAAAATGCTTGTCATTTGGTACTAATGTGGTGGAATAGTGTGGCAGCAGGATCCCTGCTTTTCACTTGGCCTCTCATAAAGATTCAACTTCACTTCAGCTGTAAAAATGTGCAAATTACATTACTACTACATGACTGACTTTTGTAATTACATTAAGCGATTGAGATAAATCCCAGTGCTGGGTTCCCAAAAGAATGCTTGCAGCTGTGTGATTTTCGCATCTGATCCTATGGTTTGTTGTACCCAGCAATGCCTGCTTTTTCCCCCCCTCCCCCCTTTTTTTTTTAAAGGAGTCTGTTTGGTTAAGAGGTCATGTTGGACACAAGATGGAAGAATAAAGCAAGATTGCTTTCCAGGGTATACCACCCAGAAATTTGTTTTGTGGAAAAGGTTAGCAGGCCATGATGATTTCCACAGAAAGGCAGGTGCAGTATTGTCCGTGTGGCACACTTGTGAGCTTCACATGGACATAATGCACATGTAGTACACAGGAACCATGCTGAGACATTGCAATCTGTGTGTCTGCTCATTTGCTGGAGAAAACAAATTGTTTTGCAGTCTTCAAAGTGAATGTTATGCGTATTTTCCTTTAGAAAAGCCAAATTAGATGTCAGTGGAGACATAAGATTGCATAGTTTTTGTAGAGCAGTTGATTAAATTGGTTTGTGTGGCAATGGGAAGAAAGAATATATATTCTCAAATTTCTTAGTTAAATTTATTGTTGGGAAGGTCAAGCAGAGGAATGAGATTTCATTAGTAAGTTCAGCTGCCCAGATTTGCCAATAAATGAAAGTTAGAAACTTCATTTCTATTTTAATGTATCTATTTCTATTTTTATACATCTAATAACAGATGTATAAAATATATATAATTTTACAGTACAAGTAATAGTTGTTGACTTGTATGGAAAAACAAACAGTGTGATGAATAATTTTTCAGATTTGCATTCATCTGTGGGTATTAGCAGTTGACAAAGGATCACATTGAAAAAAATTGTATTATTTCATAAGTGATTTTTACTACATGTACACTGGAGTCATGTAAGACCATTCTGTATATTTAAAATTAACTAGCAAAGTAAAGCAGAGTATATTGAGTCTCCAAATCTGAAACACACTTCAGCAAAAAGACATTTCTGTTACCAGTTTCTTTCTTTTCTGTTATCCTGTTTCTTTCAAATGTGCATACTTGTTAGGGGCTGTGGTTAATTATACACCTTGCAAAGGGATGAAAACTGAATCACTGATAAAGACTTTTTTTAGGCATTCTGTCATTTTTATTTACAAAGTCTTTCCTTCCCTGTCGATGTACTTACTTCCTTGTAAGGTGTAGCACAAATCATCTGAGTGCAGAGGATCAAAACCTGTGCTTGAATAGGTTGCTCTTTCACTGTGCACGTCTTTAGTTTATAACATTGTGGCAGATTCAGAGAAATAAAATTGCAGTTTTTTGATCATTAATTTCGTATGACTACAAGAGAAGTCGGGCTTTTAAAATGTAAAGCTAGTGACCATTTTAGAAGAAAACTGTGCTGTTTGTCTAAGGGTTACAGTCTCATTGTTGTACAGTGTTGAACAAAAAAAATCTAAATTTTTTAAATAAAAAAGGAGTGCCAGACAATTTAGTAGCATTTCATAATACAGCATGATGAGAACTTGGTAAAAGAAAGGCAGTCTATTAACCTTGCTTTTACTGTGAAGACCTTCAGCTGAAGTACCAGAGTTGTATTCAATAGAAAAGGCTTGACCTTGGAATAAAAGTGTGTATTCTCGGAACCCTCATTTTTAATTAAAAAAAGGTTGCATTGAAAAGATAAGCAGAAGTGCTTACTCTCCTAGCTGAAAGAAAAATTTTATGTCATTTATCTTCTTGCTTGCATACCATCTGCACCCCTAGGCACAGCTCAGTTTCAGCAAGGGCGGTACAGAAGTCCATGTGCACTACAAGTGTTTGAAATACTGGCAAAGCAAATGGATAGGGAACACATGATAAGTTTTCTGGACATCTTTTGCAAGTGGATGTGTTGGCACCATGTGTGTTTGTACACCTGGTCCAGTAACTTGCTTTGCTTCATGGAATGAATCACTGTCTGTGTTAACGCGGAGTTAAGGAATCTCAGTCAAGGGGCTGGTGCTGTGCAGCTGTGGGACAAAATCATGTTCCCTGCCTCCTGAGAGCTTATGAGATAAGACTACAAGTGAGCAGAAGTGGGCAAAAGAAAAGAATGGCAAGAAAAGGGTGGTTTGCAGGCAAAAGCTGTAGTAGAGGATCGGTCTCTGACTGCCGTCCTCTATCCCATAGATCTGGTGGGAAGGGAGTTTTCTAATGTGGGGGAGAGCAGGGTGATGGCTGTGTCTATGCACAAATGCGGCTGTCTGAGGGCTGAAGGAGTGAGTGCTGGAGGTGGATGTCATGGTGGGACCAGAGCCCTATGAAGAGTTGGTCAGTAGGGTGTGATGAATTGTATGGAGAGCTGGGCAGTAGGTCTTGGCAGAGTGCTCAGGTAAGGCGTCTCTGCAGCCAGATACACTTTGTCAAGGGAAAAGGAGGTTGTGGTGGTCCAGGCATGACTTGGGTGAGTTTTCCTTATGTGACTGGATTAGGAAGGCCCCCTCTGCAGCAAAACAGCAGAAAGAGCCCAGCAGAGGGTAGTCTGAATGTGTGAGCCCCAGGCATAGTTCTGTTCCTGCTGTGGAGGGGCAGGCCTGCCTGGGGCTGATGGCCACGCTACCTGAGAAGGGCAGAGAGGTTGAGGGTTACCATGTCAACTCTCTGAAAGATGTTATAATGAACTATGAACAGAATCTGGTCTATGAATTTAATTACTTGTGTGCTTTTTACCCACCTTGCTCTCGTTAATGTTAATAAGGTCCTTTATAAGAAGTATTACTGCATGTGGATGGATGGCTTGGACTACTTCTTTTCTCCTGTTTGGCAAGGAACCGAAGGTCCTTGTGGGCAGCAGCAGATGACAGCCATTTTGATGGAATCCTTTTGCTGGGATCCTTCTTGTGTCTATACTGGCTTAAAAGTCACTTTTCATATCCAAAAGCATGCCTGTTAAAATATTACAGGATTGCAAGACTGAGCCGGCAAGAGTCCATGAAACAGCTGTTCAGTGCAAAGTCACTTTAAAAAATTACATATTAGCCTTTTGATTAATAACATGCTTGTAGCCGTGGGTTAATCTTGCAGAAGGACCCTCCAGCCCCAATCTGTAGAAGTATTAGCTATCACAGTCATTACCAGCATGTCCTATTAAGACTGACCAACTCTTCACATGTCAAGTAAACATTCAGCTTCAGGCCTGTCTGTCATTTATCACTGAGCTGGGGACACTGAGCAGAGCTAAATTAAAAACTGCTGTCTCTCCTCTGGCTCTGTCTATGTCCTTAAAAATACCTGTCTTATAAGCAAGGCAGCAGATAATGTTTGTAATGTCAAAGCAAAACTTTTCTTTCAAGGCTTTTTCACAGATAGAAAAAAACCTAGTACAATGTCATGTGGATTGTTTTTGTAAAATTATTAAAAAATGAAGAAGCAGTAATTAAAACCTTCTGAGTGAAAGGAGGTTCCTAGACTTTGATAACAACATCCAGGCCTTTTCCCAATTTACTGCTACTTCTCCTTATCCCTATGCTAATTATCCAGCTTTGTGGTAATCGGATGTCTGGTTCTCATTTATTGTGTTTTATAATTGCGTATTCATCCAGCTCTTGTTGCAAAGCTGGATGCTTTGGCTCTGTTTTCCCTCCCTTAAATAATTTATATGTAAGGTTCAGCAAATGGAACCTTGCTACTTGTGTGAAGCTGCCATTTAACCATGAAGGAAAATGCTTTTATTGAGTTTGCCCTGCAGATATGGTCCGCTGTGGCAGTGCTGTCCATATTTGGTGGCTGTGCAAGGAGAGCCAGGTGGTGCTGCAAAGCATAGCACAGTGAAGCGTGGACAGATCTAGGTTTGACATTTGTCATCCTGTACTGCTAAAGGGAAGAGAAAAATCTGCTTTTCCATATGCTTATGCTTTAATTTTTGCCTGCAGTTTTGTCCAGATGGCCTTGTGAACATTGTTTACTTTAAGATGCTGTCCCAGATGTTTTTGAATGCCGATGGATAAATGCAACAACTGTGGTATACTAATACACAAATTATTTACACAATTTTGGTTTTTTTTTCCCCCCTCTTTTTTTTCCCCCTTTTTAACCATCTCTTCTCCCCAGCACTACTCTGCATGGCCCACTTCTCTGAGGGGAGAACATCTCCACTTATGTTATTAAACTTTTGAGAGTGAGCAATGCTTTTGAGTTGCAGATATCTGGAGCCCCTATTCCCCTGCTATGGTCGTACTGGAGCTCTGTGTGAGTGGATGAGCATGCCCCTTGTAAGCATGCCAATTAAAAGGTGTTGCTGCATGTAGCCCATGAAAAAGTGAGTATTTCAGGGTATGAGCAGCTCGTTTGTCAATCGTTGCGTTCAAAAACACTTTCCTTTTTCAAGAACTCAGTCTTTTACTTTCTCCTTATATGTCTTAATTTTCCGTCCAAGTGGAGTAATTTAAAGCTGTGTAAGCAGTATTAACAAGAACATTTAAAAATGTTTTTAAGCAGCAAAGCACCTCTAACCGTGTTTTGACAAACTCTGATACAATTTGTAAGAATAATTACGCCTTGATGGCACTGTAGGGTGCAGGGAGACTGCTTTAGAAGCTTGTTGCCAGATACAACAGCTATTTTAATAACTTCTTTTTTATATAATTATATTTTTTCATCTTCTAAGCAAGAAGCTACCTAGGAGTGTACATAAAAGAACCTTTTGGCATGAGAATTTCATTAACGTAAATAGGTCTGTTAGTTATTTCTCAAGAACACTTTAATGAGACTTCAATGTGAAACTCATTAGAACAAATATATGAATTCATATGTCAAGACAGAGATTGTAGCATCACAGTTCTTGGCATCTATTAAGTCCATAACTCGTTTACATTGACATGCATTGTTAATCAATATTTAAGACACTGCAGATGTCAGTAATGTTCATATTTAGTCCTGCAACCATGACAATATGAAAGTTGCTAGTAGAATTCAAGACTAAATATTGTTATCTCAAGTCTTTCCGTTACCTCTAGGCTACAAGTTAATGACTGTCTAACTTTACTGCCCCTTATCTATTTAAATAATAAGGGAAGTAGGGAATTATATGGGTGTTATACTGGTAGCATAGTTTTAAAAATTTTTGTTACTTGAAATTAAAACACTAGCACTGTACGTATGTGGGCTGTACTAGCAAGTCCTCAGGCTGTGACAAAGGGAGGTGGGTTGAAGAGCAAATGTAGTATTTGAGCAAACTGATAATGACTCCAACTGGACTGTTGACAAGGCAATTCGAATGGAGTGCAATAATTGATAAAGACTTGCAGCATTCAGGTGGTAACTTTTGGTTACCTCTCTTCAAATGCACCGAAAAGCAGCCTTTGTGTGGCGTTTCTAATGTGTCTGATGAATGTATATCTCAACTGCCTATTGTTAACAAGCTAACAGAGCTCATTTTACTTTATTTATTGCTTGCATAATTTTAGAAGTTACAGCCTTATGAGACAGTATGGTTATTGTGGAAGTTTTTGTTGGATGTATGTAGTTGTTGGGGGGGGGATTTGGGGATTTCCCCCCCCCCCGGGCTTTAACTGGTGAGATTGCATAAAGCAGCATCTTAGGGTATCATCAAGGTATCTTTGCACATTTGTTAAAATTGATAAACATAACCATGGAAGGACTACATTGATAAAACTATGCAATTACATAGTCATATTAATCTATAGTTTAATTATAGGTTCATCAAAAATCTTACGTCTTCGTGAAGAAAACAGTGAAACAAGTGAAATACTAAAAGGAAAAAGTTCTGGCAATGGTGCATCAATTCCAGTTAAAGGAATAAATAACTTAGGAAATACTTGCTTTTTTAATGCTGTCATGCAGGTAAGATGGAAAGATCATACCACTTTCTCTTCACAGATTTCAAAAATACTAAATCTGTATAATCAGTGGGCTTCAGAAAAGGTTCTGAGTTACCAGTCTTCATTCTGCTTTCTCAAGGTCCTTTTCAAATTCTTTTTACTCCTTGCTATTCCAGGATTATTTCCTGTTATAGCAAAAAAGAATTCTTGGATCAGTAGCATTTTGTACAGTAATGAGACAAGTGAAAAGGTCAAGTGTTTTACACACTGCATATGTGTGTGGGTTGTACTCTACTAGCATGTAGTTTTATTTGTAGTTCAGCATTAGCAGTTATGAGTAATGTGAGGTATTTACCATACTGGTGGTGTGAATAGTGGTACTTTGTGTGTAATGTAAATGCCTGCACACTAAATTGTGATGATTTTAAGCCCCTACAATGGATGCAGTTATAAAATTACTTGTATTGATTATGATTTTTTCATAATAGAATAAGAGGAATGAGCTATACTAATACACTTCTATTGATGTGTATTAGTATAGCATCCTCAAAAAAGGCAGCAGCCTTCGCAGGTTTTATGTTGGACCATCCCGTTGCTTGTCAGCTGAGCAGAGACGTCTGTATGTCTGCAGACAGGAGTGAACAAATGAGGGAAAACTGCTATAAAGGTGTTCTGCACTGGCACACTTAACCTTGTGTTTATAGTGTTGATTACAAAATTCAGTAAACAAATAGTAAAATTGTAAGGAGTAGATTTACTGCAGATTGTTATCTGTTAATACTTAGGGCATCATAGAGAATGGAGGGATCTGCAGTCAAAGGTAATAAAAAATAAAGAAACAATGTTGAGTTGGTTTCTCTCCTCAATTCAGGGAGGTGATGCTTTTCAGTGTGCCAAAGCCTTTGTGCTTTATGAGGCATGATGAGAGGGACTGCGGAGTTTAAAAGAGACAAATGATTTCTGATACTAATGTCCTCACCATAAAAAAATAAATTAACGAATCTTGTTGTTCAACAAAAATAACAAAGTTATTACTAGGAAACTATTTTGAAATTACAGAAAAAGAAATGATACAATTTTAGAAACCAGTCAGATCAGTGATTTTTCTAGTGCTTTTTCTAGTGGTCTGGCCTAAACCTCAGTTATACATTATGAAATAGATCTGGTTTTGTCTGTCCCTAAAGCTAGAATATGTAACTAAAAGAAAACTGTGTAATTGAAAGATCAGCATGCTTCTTTTTTCTCTTTAAGAACTTGGCACAGACTCATGTACTAAATGAACTGATATATGAGATGAAGGAGAAAGGAACAAAGTTAAAAATCTGTCATGCTTCAGACTCCCAATTGGTAAGTATGTATTGAGAAATACAAATCTGGGAAACTGTGGGAAGAAGCTGGAGGACAGGAAGTCACATCTCTGTTAAAGGCACACTGCTACTTTCCCATTTCTTTTGCCTTTTAATTGTTTAGCTGTTTTATGTTATCTGTGAACTCATTTCTTTTACAAAAATCATTATTCAGCCCCGGAGGAGGAGGAATAATGACTTGCTTTCACGTGAAGTATCAAATAATGCCTGACCTTAAGTAAGAGAGGCTGGCTTATTTTTGTTTGCCATTGAATTTCTTAATATGAATGTATGGTACAGGAAATAGTCTAGTCGGCTCTAGAAAGTGTTAATAAAATATTTTATTCCAGTCTGTCCTAGCCATTGATAAGGCTTGTAAAATTTATTATGTGCTTCACAGGCCAGAGGATTAAAATGAGAGAGGCAAAATTTCACTGAGGAAAAAATTTCTTGTCCTCGAGCTCATTGCAGGCATATGGAAAGAGACTCCTGTGGCTATTATCCAAAGAATATTCTGCTGTTCCTGTCATGTCCTAGAGACTTGGATTTTCGTATGTTGTTGGCAATAAAGATAATACCCCTTTCCCTCAGCTAGTTAAAGCAAACAGTTTACAGAAGATTTTTGTTTCTTTTTTTCTTCCTTTTTTTTTCTGCTCTTTGCTGGGAGCTTTCTGGTGGCAGTGAGGGTGGAGTGGTGGTATTCTGTTTCAGATACCTCCGAAATGATGAAGATTTCTTGGCGTTGCTGTAGGTGATGTTCATAGCCTCTATAGGCAAGAACAGTGTGAAATTCACTGCATTGCTGTCTTTATTTCCTCCAGTGGTAGTTCTGAGCAGCCACGTTTCACTAAGTTATCCTGAGCCACAATGGAGGTCTGGAGCTTGTTTGTGCCCAAAGGCTTAGAAAGCCAGTGAGATGTTGGCTTATGCTTGATGTGAAACTTGCACAGCCATAAGGTTGAAAGATTAATTTTTTGTTTCATGACAATGCTTACAATGTAAATAAGGTCTTTGGAACAAAGACTGTGTTTTCTGGTCTTTGGTTTTGTTTGTCAACTCAAAATTAGAGGGCTGCAGTAGTCTAACTAATAGTCATGTAGAAATCTACAGCTTCCCGCTTGGTAAGGGGCATTTTTCCACTTTTCGATAGTGTATATAAAGCAAATATTTTATATTTGTGTGTATCCATAGCGCTTACATTTTGTGTGGATCTGCTTTCTGGATGAGGCACCCTCTCTAGTTGTTTGTCTGGCTGTTGTAATCTGTTTTACTGAGAGTCAGGCCACCTAGTAGGGAGCACTGTGGTCACGTATGAACCTTGGAGCGTATTAGGGAGATCTGGTGGTCTGTGGTCGCTGTGAACCACTGCTGGTGCCTTCACGGCACCTGGTTCTTGGAGGAACAGGGTGTGTTTCTGTGTCTCTTGGATGTGTGGAAATCTCAGCTTTTGGCTCACTGGTCAGAGAAGCTGGCCACCCTGTTCCTAAGGTTGAGTAACAGGGAGCCACTGAGCACCATCTTATGCTGGCCCACAGAGGTGGTCACTTGGGCTGTCTCTCCAACTGAGTTTCAGTGCCATGTAGGAGTAAGAGTAAAGCAGGTAATACAGGAAGGTAGTCTGTTTTTGTGAGAAACAGGCTGGCTTAATGACATACCTGTTTCCAAAACTGTTGGTTACCACCAGTTTTCTCAACAAGAATTGTTTGGTTTTGCAACTATACAGCTTAAACAATAAGCTTTCTCTTCAGTTATTTCAATCACGTAGGTGACATCAACATTTAAAAAAACCCACCCCAGAACACTCTTAAGACCAAAGTTACATTGCTCTTTATCATGAATGTAGTAACTGGAAAGAAGTCTTTGAAATCTGATGTGCATTTTACCTATGTTTTGAAGGATCCTTTGGTGGTAAACCTTTCCAGCCCGGGACCTTTGACTTCAGCGATGTTCTTGTTCCTTCACAGTATGAGGGAGGCTGGAAAAGGTCCCCTTTCTCCCAAAGTGCTGTTCAGCCAGCTTTGTCAAAAGTATGTATTGTCAGTATCTTTTACTTATTCATTTAATTTTTACTGGTGTGTTTCTAAGTGTGCTATGTCTTGTACTTTCTAAGGTGCCATTGGATTTTTACTTGGCAGTCCAAAAAATATTTTCTTCATGTTTTAAAGTTGCGGGACTCCTTGTTGCACTCCAGGGTTGTACCTGCCCTTCATGTAATGTATGGTCCAGTTCATAACCACTAATGTTTAATGGGCTTTGAACTGAGTGTGAGGGGGCAGAAGAGGGCAAAAAGAGTAAAAAAGAGTAAGATTTTAAATGGGAAACCTCTGCAATGATGTCTAACCTTGGCATCAATTCAAAATTAAAAAGGGTGTAACAAGTAAGGACTTGAAGCAGCACTGAAATGGCATATGGTTCCAGATTGCGGAGAGCTTACAAGCCCTAAAGAAAGTCCTGTTTCTTGGTGTGGAAAATGTTTGCAGTGGTGCTTTGTAGGTGCTTTCAATTATGATGCAAACAGTCTTGCTTTTTAAAACACCTGTAGAAGACCTATTTAAAAGTTGATACAAATATTTAGACATTGACTTACAAGCAAAAGAAGCTGTAGAAACAGAGTAACTGGAGGATGATATATCTGAATCTCACATTTAAAAAAGAATAATATTGCGTGTTAATTTATTTGCTATGGTATTATTTATGGAACTGTAATTGTTCTGCAGCAAGAGAATTAGGAAAGTTGCAGCCTCCTACCATGGCTTTCCAGGACAACCTTACTGGGCAATGGATTTAAAATACAGTATAAAGAAACAAAAGCTTTTAGATTAGAGCAGGGACAATTGAATTCTGTAAAGAAATAACTAATTACCTTTTCTTTATTTTCAAAACTCAACTTCAGAAACTTAACATTATATTTTTTTACTGTATTTGTCTTCCTTTTGATTCTTTTGAGCTATAAAAGAAAATGTGTATAAAGTGACCTTACAGCAATTTTGAATCAAACAGCAGTGTTCTCTCTTTAGCATTATCTACCGGGAAGAAAAATACATTGTTTTCTCACTACTCCTCCTCCTGTTTTGAGACTGTCTCAAAAAAATGTGATTATAAGGATAAAATTTGGCTGAGAAATGGAAGGGAAATGATTAAATAACAATAGTAGTTTTTTCCCAGTAAGTGTTAAGGATAGAAGGGAAAAGATGATATAAAACATGTTTTGAAGCCCACCTTAGCAAATTCATTGTGAAATAATCATGATGCAGTGCACTTCAGATGGCATTGTATTTTTAAAGTGGTAGTTATTTTGTATCTGCTCTGTGTCTGTTTGTGTAGTCATCA